CCCCCCCCCCCCCCCCCCCCCGTGGACTCGCCAATGAATCGCGATAGTCCCTTTCAAGAACCCATTTTCGAAGTTACACCGCGAAATTTTACTAAAGATTAGCAAAAATTGTTTTTTGTTTTGTTTTTAAAGAAAAGTTATTTGAGGTCTTTAATACATTTGAGGATTCTGCAACCGCAATAATTTTTTTTTTTTTTTTTTTTTTTTTTTTTTTTATGATTCTATTTTGAGGGCTTCTTTAGCCCACCCTTCATCACAGTGTAAACCAAACGGGGTCTCCTGAAGGAAAAGAGCTGTTTACGACCATGAATAGGACCCCTGGACACCATGATCGAAAACGTCTCCACGTGTTGGTGAATTCCTCTCCTCTAGGTTTTTTTTTAGCCTTTTGTCCAATCGACTGCGGCTGACATGGTTATAGGAAAAGTATTTACCGGAGCGGGCGCCCTCGGCCCTGGGCGATGCGTATCGATTGACCCCGGAGAAAGCCCTTAAAACCCGCGGCGAGCCAATATCCGCGCGGATAAGAAAACCTCTGGTCGGCCCGTGATAAATCATTTCCCTCGTTCTCGCTCGGCTCTTTCCTTCGTCCTCACCTTAAAATTGGTTTTTTTTGGGCGGCTCTTTTTTTAATATATTTTTCCGGTCGCCCGTCTTTACGGCCCATTGCTTTTTTCCCCGGCTCGCGACTGTCTGTGCCCTGCGGTCCCGTGTTTGCGCTTTCCTTGCGTCGTGCTGTCGTCCGAAAGTGGCCTTCTCTTCCGCTTCGCTAACCGCGACGGCTCGGCAGCGTTGCCAGCCTTCAGTGAAAAAAAAAAGTTCGGTAAATCCGAACTAGTTAGGATCATATGAAACCAGGTTTTGTTCGGTACACACAACCGAATTATTCGGTCTGTGCGACCGAAGCATAATAAATTCTTACAGTTCGATTCAGTGGACCGAACAGTTCGGCTGAGCAGACCGAATAATTCGCTTGTGTGTACCGAACAAAATCGTGGTTCCATATGATCCTAACTAGTTCGGATTTACCGAACTTTTTTTTTCAGTGATTTCTCGAAATCAACTCATGAGCTTCTGGATAAGGGATGGAAGGCAGTGGCGATATTGTAGGATGGGAAATTTGTCCTTTATTTGAATCCTTTAAAAATATCGATTTAGGCGAGACAAGCTGACTCACTAAATATCGATTGTCTTACATACATTTATATGGAGAAGAAACACACTGGAAAAAAAAGTAGCTTTGATTCAGAATCCAGACTCTTGAAAATGTTGACAAGAAAAAATGCTCCTGATTTAATTGGATTTTTGCTTGAGTCAGAAGGAAATTTGCTTAAATCAGAGGCTCGGCTCTTCGATTCAAGGAAATGTCCGATTGAATCAAGAGTATTTTTTCTTGTCAATGTTATTAAGAGTCTGGACACTATAGATCCAAGCGACTTTTTTTCCTACCTCAGAAAGTTATCAATATTGATAACTTTCAATAATCGCTATTGGTGAAATTTTATAAGAGCCTTTGAAAGAACCTGTCAAAAGGAAGGGTCTTTTTTTGCCTCTTTTTCGGGGATTTGGGATTTAGTTCAAATGTAGCTTAAATGAAACGGTATAATGAAACAATCTTTTAGTCAAGGTGTTGGTTACTTCAATGGGAAGCCATGTGGCGTTCAATAGCTTTATTCTTCATCGTGTTCTACGTTCTTTTTTAAAAAGTAAACCAGACTTATTTCACTCATAACGGCTTATTCTCTTTGTTTGTTCTAAGGAATTCCTGTTGGCTATCGATGTGACCTCATCCGGGACTCCGGAAGAAAAATTAAAATGGGCGTTCAGAATGTACGACGTCGACGGAAATGGTGTCATAGACATTCACGAGATGACGAAAATCGTTCAGGTGAGCGAAACCTTTTATCAATTGCAGATATAAAAGTGCAAAAAAAGAATAGAAAAAGATAAAAATTAAATTTGTCATATCAGGCATTTTCCTAAATACCTAGGCAGGTGGTCAAAATTTTCAGATGTTTTCATGTTTTTGAACTGTCAATTTGTTGATGTTTAGAACGTCAACCTCGTTATTTAAGTTCCGAATTCGTATGGAAGTTCACCGTCAAATCTTTCTGAGAAATGTTAGAGTTTAAAATTGCCAAAATTTGCATCTATTGAAACATTTTTACTCGGATGTCGACATTAATACGCGCTGGAAATTGTTGAAACAGCCTTTAGATGTAAACTAATTTTTTTATTCATATCTTGAAACGATTAAACAGTCGAAATTAAGCAAGAGGTTCTTACTTTGAATCTGATTTAGAATATTTGACCATGCATAAGAAGTTTTCTCTCAAATTTACGGAGGAATTCTTTAAAAAAATGTTTCAAATTTACAGTGGTGCAGACGGGGGAGGGGGCAGAGGTTTGGGACACCCCCCCCCCCTTTACCCAAAAATATTTCATAAAAGATAAATTACAAGATTTTTAGGAATATTTTAACTTTAGACTCGCGTGAGTAAGATTTGACTGCGGAACTTATCCATCCTTCATTTTTTTAAAAGTATCTTCATTTTAAGGGATTTTTCGAAAACGTAAAGAGTTCAGCTGACTAAAAATCTCTGTTGCTACCTGGGAAAATTTCAAAATTCTTCTTACTACCCAAATTGAACAAACATCATAAAAACATCATGAAATTAAAATTGGTAATCCAGGCTACATAGGTAACTTTCAAAGAAGTAGTTTTAAGAGGGAAACATGTGCCACCCATAACACACCTTACCTTACTACCCTATATCATTAGGAAGGAAATTTAAATGAGCTCGGAAAAGAATCTTTCTCAAAAACATCCTTATTACACAGGTTCAATGATCTTCCACTTAATTGAGAAATTTCGGCCACGTTATTTTATATTGAGAAGATCGGTGAATGATTTGTTGCAACATTAAATAATAAATTTTGAGGTAGGATCAATACAAATGCATTCAGGTGATGACTGACATTCAATTTGTCAATCTTGAATTTGGCCTCTGTTTAAGTCCATGTCCCAAGTAGCATTCTTTAAACAGAAAAATGGAGATAATTTGCAATCAAGTTGCGATTGTTTTACGATTCTTTGGCGATAAAATTGCTAGGATCATCAACTTCTGAGCGATTATCCTCAATCTTGTCGCAATTTTATCTCCGTAAAATCGCGTTCGATAAAATAGAAATTTTATCCCAATCTATCACGATTTTTCGCTCAATAATATTGCGGTAAATCGCGATTTTATTGCAAATTTATACGATAATATCGCAATTTTTTATCCGATTATATTGCAATAAATCAACGTCGATAAAATCACGACACATTCTCCGATCAAATCGCAACTTATCGCGAGCTCTGCTACTTGGGTAAAAGGATAACAAATAGAGTAAAATTAGAACAGGCCATTTATTTTGAATAGGATCTTTAGTGAGAGTGAACTCGTATTAATTTGTTTCCTTTTTTTATTACTAGGCAATCTACGACATGCTTGGAGCATGTTCAGCAAACCGACCTGCTGATTCTGCGGAAGAACGGGCACGAAACATTTTCGCAAAAATGGATGAAAACGGTGACGGCCAGTTGACACAAGATGAATTCCTCAAAGGCTGCTTGCAAGATGAAGAACTATCCAAGATGCTTGCACCATAATCAAACCTACGACCATGGGACTCATTACCCATGTTTTTCTTCAATGTATCAAACGTTACTTTAAGCATCTCAAACATTGGGATAACTCAAAAGCATGTTCGACCTATACCTCCAAGATGGCCGCTAAGACCGCCATGTTAAGAATTTTTTCCTCTAGATGAAATTGTTCTGGCAAAATTGTAAGCTCAACATCATGCCACACGTAATAGGTGTTGATAATGAATGAGGTTTCATTCAATCAGAGTTACTTTTTTTATTAGTTTTTCTTGTCAAGATAAGACTGCAGACATTACATTCTATCGCACAAGAATCACTGCAGTCTTGTCTGGATTCATTCTTCACAGAAAGTTCGTAAATGTTTTACTTTGGTTTGCACACGAAATTATTAATGATTTATGCGACTGTGAGGACAGAGAAAACAGCCTTAAAGAGACTAATGTCATTTGATTTCACCAAAGGCCTCATTTCAGCTAAATAGGGATAGGTATGGGAGAGGGTGGAAAAACGTTCTGGCAGAAAATGAAAAATTTGCCTGAAGGAGAGGAGCGGCTCCTATAAAAAATCATCATTAATACCCTAAACTTGATCAAAACTCTATCATTATTGACTCCTAGAATTGCATTAAAGTTCTCTGGTGAAAGAAAAACATTTTAAAGCGAGAAGAGGAACTAAAACATCCTGTTGAAGATGCGTTATTTCAGCTTAGAGTGATAGAGTTGAGGGACAGGATGCTTATCAATATGTTAATTTTATTTTCTTTTGACTGTAGTCATTTGCCCCTCACCATGGAATTAGCTGTGGGCTAAGGTTTTTTGCATCATAATTCGTTGACATCAGTATTGACACATGAGTTCTGACGTTGTGCAAAAAGAATGATCTCTGCCTCATTATCGTGTCGCAACTCTTCATAAGGGCGCGCAATTTCAAACGTGCGCGCTGAAAATTAAAATACGCGCCGTTGTTGGCCTGCCTCCGATGATTGGTGACTGGTGATAACGTAAACATTGGCCCTAACCTCAACATTTGTTTTGATTTCGTCTATCGACTGTCTCTGTCTAGGTGTTCGTCTCCTTTCTCTAAATAATATTCAACGATAATTTTTCTTTTGCAATCTCTGAATCTACTTCAGACTTAAGCATCAAGGAAATTTCTGATTTTTCAAAATCATTTATCAAGTTCATCCCAGGCGCTTTACTTTTGACTATTGTTTGATTCAATGTGAGTACCTATCTTTTTTCTTGAAAATTAAGTTTTCGCTCGAATTTCATGTAATTAACATCGCACAGCCTTGGTGTAGGTCTGTACCCTAACAAACTTCTGAAATTCAAATTTAAAGGAAGTTAAGAGCCTCCCAGTTTCATTTTGTGGTATCGTTTTTGTACCTAGGTGGCGAATCTTCACTAGACTCATTCCAAATTGTCCGTAAAGTTTGCATCTTGGACCATGCAAATGTATATCATCATCTGAAGTATTATCTGTCTGGTTTTGAACTGGAACGCACGCCTATTTTTAACCTTATACTGGGTATCTCGTAAATGTTCAAAGTTACCAGAATATGCCCTGCGTTTTTGAGTAACTATTACTTTTTGTGATGAGGACATTTGCATGCACGGTCATGAATCTAGTAAAAAGCTCATGAGCTAAAGGTTTTGCTTGCGCGCAAATTTTCATCGCAGGATACCTATTGATGGTTGGTTGAATTTTACTCATACTTAGAGCTGGGGCGCTGTTTTGTTGAATCAGTAACACTCAACAGATTTAACATGTGAATTCATAAAGCAACCTCAGTTAGTATTCTTAGATGCAAGATTTAAAATATATTTTAACATAATCTACGAGAGCTTCAAAAGTCCCTCTGAGTAATGCTAATTGAAGCGTAATTTCTTCCTATGTATGTAAACATCAATCTCCCACTGGACTTCTGAGTGAAGTGCACTGATTTTCATGTTGGAGGAGTCATATTTACTTAATAAATAAATTATGAACATTTCTGATGAATAACCATCCACAAATTTGAAAAGTATGAATAATCCTCTTGCCCTAGTAATCTAGTAGATTTTCATCACGTGTTTTAGAAACATGATTGTGCAAGAAGTAAGTCGACCAAAACCTAAGAAAAAAGGAGCTCATCTATTACTTATAGCACTCCTTCAAGATCAATGGTTATTTTAAAACTTTTAAGGCACCATACCAATTATCAGGATGTTAAAATACTAATCTAAACGAAACGTGTTCAAACTTAAAATGTGGTGAGAATAAAGTGAACTTCATAAGTAGTAACCACAAGACAAACTGGTGTCAGTGATTAGAGTGAGATTAAGTACTTCTTGTTTTGTCGGTGGTTATCATTCACCTATTTTTAAGTTTGAACTTCTTTTTTAAAATAATTAGTAGGTATCTTCAAGCCCTAACAGTTGGAAATGAACCTAGAAAGTTGAGGCTTCGTTAGTAATCCACAAAGGATGTCTCGATGTGTCTTTTCCTTAGGCCTTTATTAGCCTCAGTCAACCTATCTCTCAAATTAAAAATGACTTGCAAACAACTAAACCAAATGATGTAAATTTCCTTTGTGTTTAAATTAAATGAATATGTGATCTCGAGTACCAGTATTTACAATCTTTGAAAGAGAGCCGGTTTGAATTTAAATTCAAATTTTAAATAATCAGTTATATGCCTATGTCAACAATTCTTTACCCCGAAATTGTCTAAAAGTAAGGTGTTTTAAGCAGCAAAAGGTTGTCTCTAAAGCAGAGCATTGTTTGAACATTTTTGAGTTACCCGCCTCCAAAAAAATATGTATCCATTAACCAATTATCATTGAAAGGAGGGAGGTATCGATGCTTTTTGAGTTGAGCGAAAATTACAGCTTAAGTATTTCAAAAAACGATAGCACAGCATTTTACTCTCTTCATTCTTCTGTTTTATTTTTATTTGATTTTTTAATTAAAAAACCTGTATATATTTATAGTCATGTATATTTTTAATGTGGCTGCACAAAAACTCTGCGCTGATATCCGTTTCTTTATAGTTGCACTCACTATTTTTATACCTTTAAATACTTCTACTAGAATAAGATCATCTGTTCATCACCCCTATACTCTTCCTCGGTATAGCTCCCCTCCGTTCGAGTTTTCAATGTACCCGTACTTGTTGGAGCATTATTTTGTATTATCTGATTTCTCCAAACATGCCCTCCCCCTCTTTCAATCAAGTTTTTTTTGTAGGTGTCACTCTCATGAATTAAATCATGCATAATTTTTCATCTTAAAACGTTCAAGGTAGTGAGTGGAAAACCCTTGTGAGTAGTAAAATGATGTTCAAGAAAATCACATTCAAAATTTTCAATCGTTGTTGTCAGGCTACCTTTTATCAAAAATTATCAGATATCTGCTCAAAAATAATGCCACAGTTTCAATATTTCGTGTCATTGTACTTGCATCAACACTAAATAGGTATGCAAAATTCAGTTTTCTGGAGAGAAGACAGCAGTTTGCTTTTATCATTTTTCCATCTACATCTTTATACAAGTTTCTGTGTAAAACCATGCTACTACTGTTGTCATATTGGCCTGAGTCCAGTTAACGTTTGACGTCAGTTTCTTACTACCAGCGTTCCTTTGTCTATGTGAGTCTCGAAAACTTTCATTGCAGTTACGCCTTTTTCCTAATCATCAAATCCTGCCATCTGCACTGTGTTTATAGTAGGAAATTATTTCATCCCTTCCTTCATCGTTTACATGTTTTGTTTGTTAGTATTTGAAAACTCTCTTGTTGCTCTAAGATTGGGTGTAACTGTCGTTTTTCGCTTGTCCAGATGAAAACAGTAACTCTCTTGACATTATTCTAAGTTCCTCGATTGTATCAGTATGAAACGTTAAATCTTCCGATGCTCAAGAGGTTTTAAATACGTACCTCTTTTTTTAAGATTTCCGTGTCCAAAAATCTATCGCTTGAAAGTTGTTGTGGAGCCCTGGACTATGCACTTAAAGATTCAAGATTTGTGTAGCGCATGTGAAGACAACCATGTTCTCTTGTAAAGTTTACGGGTTCCAGTTATGACCAAAAACCGTTTATCATAGTTTTTCTTGCTCCCAAGTTGGGAAGAGAATGTATCAATGCATCGAATCACTCTCCTGTTGTTGTAAATAAATTATTTTGTACGCAAATTTTTGTACAGGTGTCAAGTTTTTCTTGTCACCCTCAAAATTCTTTTGCTGTAACACTACATGCTTATCTATCTTTAACCACAAAAAAAATGCACGACCTATGAAACTTTTAAGTACTTAACGTACTACTTCTGTTGAGGTACTTTCATTCACATTTTTCTCAAGACTAAAGAAGATCAGCTTTAAATGTTTTCGTCCGAGCTATCTCATGTGTTCTTAGTTGTATCAAAATCATTTTATAACTAAAGCAAAAGATAACTCTTCTTTGAAGATTTTTTTTTCAAACAGTTCATTTACCTTACATAATCATTTATTTCACCAGGAAATGTACTAAATCATGTTCCAAAATATGCACTCTTGAAATTGTGTGTTCTCTACCTAATTTAAAAATCATTAATATTACCAATACATGAATGTGTGATGAATTTTGTGTAAGTCTTAAGCTCTTGCACTTTTCTCAGAATTTTTAAGGATTTGAAATATTTGCAGTCCGTAGTCTTAAAATGTGAGAGGCTACAAGGGATTTTTTTTTTAAAAAAAATCTTACACGATTATCACTTAATCTCTTGAACATATCTGTTGAATGACTGTGGTGAATTCAAAGATTTCTGCTGATTCTTCCTCCCGATTTTATTCTCAACACTTGTTATGGACAAGCAAATAGCACCTGTACCTAAAATATTCCAGTCATGGTCAAAACTTCATGGAAAGAGGGGTGTTTCATGGCACTTCAGTATTCTATTCAGTAAGTTTAGGAAAATGATCGGCACTTTAAAATTGTCCATTCTGCAAGATAATCTCGGATTATATCAGTTCTTGTCATTAAGAATGGTGTCATATCTTGGTGTCCAGTTAAATTTTTTTCCTTTCACGTACATGCTTGAAAATGCCAGTAATTTTAAGCATAGTCATTAGCATCACTTCTTGTCAATCTTTCCATGGAAATTATTCTCCTATTTCTCATCTCTCCTTTTTTGCCAGGAATCTTCCCTGCATAGCTCTGTTCTTATCACTTCATTATCTCATGTACAATAATCATCTGTGCTGTAAATAACAATTATGATACTCTTAGATGATACAATATTTCTTATCTTTCAATTTTACCAATTTTTACGTTATCTTTTTCTATTAATTAATATAGGTATCATTTTGTTCACATTCTCCGTAAGTCTTTTCGCTTTTTAGACTTATTTGACACCAACATTCTTATCAAAAGTTACCTGTCAGTTGAAAACATTTGTAGAAAGGGATGTTTAGTATTTTTCCTGCAATACTTTCACGCGCAAGATGCAAGCGCTAAAAACGATTGTTTTTAAAATTTTTAAGCTGAACCAGTGCTTTCAGCTTTTTACTTATTATTTATCAAAGCACGCTCTTGACATGACAGTTTTACCAAAGGTACATAAATGTTTACCCAACAGATTTTAGACATGAAATTCATGGAATTTATGCACAAATGACTTTTTAAAAGAAATTGAAACTACTTGTCATGTAACAAAGAGGCAAGTGATTGAGAATTTACCAAACATAAAGTAATACAATGTCAGTTTTCTTAATTTGTCACAATAATTGACTCTCTGACTGCCAAACTTTCATGTTTTATCTTTCGATCCAGCATTTATCTTTGCACAATTATTGACATGAGTGTTTTTATACACTATTTATCAACGCACATCGGTTAGCTATCAGGCTCATTTGTTCAGAATTGGCTGCCGTTCGTTCAGCACTCAATCAACTGCCTGCTCCTAAACCCTGTATTATCCTGAAATCTCCAGTCTCATTTGTCTCTAAGAGAAAATAACTTCATGCAAGTACCAAACAGCCCTTTCTTTCTTTACTCTCTTATTTACCAATCTATGATCTGATTTTATTTTCTGAAAATTACCTAATAAAATCTAGTTGCTAATCGAATGTTGTGAATAATATTACGATGTTACGTGATTTTTCTTTCTCAAATCTTCAGTCTTTGTCAAGTACTTGCTTTGGTTTACAATTATTTTTGTTTTTAATGTTGCTATACATTTGTTGTCAATTTTACCAAACTATAAATACATAAAAAATTTTGCCTCTTTTATAAATAACATGTTTCTCTTTCTTCCTCAAGTATAACATATATTTAAGTTGTTACTTTTAAATTTTAGAATATCTTTGTGGTATAGTCTTACTCTCTGGCACAAGAACATCCTTCTTTTCCCAAAGGCTCATCTTTACAAGTTTCAAGTTCCGTACTTTTTTTTAAAAATTAAGGAACTCTTTTGCGCAAAATAAATGAAAAAAATAAGTTGGGCGGGTTTTGAGACTGCCTCTCACCCTCAGCAATGAACACAACTGAGTATGATTCTCTATGCAAGTGTGTTACTTGTTAAGATTTTCAACATTTGACGAACCTTGCGCAGTCCGTTTTTATTCAATTTTCATCGTAAATTCATTCTTTGCTTCCAATTCAAGCTCAAATCAAAAATTGTGTTCCCGCTCTAAAATCTCTCATCCTCTGTAATTTCCATAGATTTTTTTTAAAAAAATCTACACAATCCACGTTCATTTTTGTTTTCAATTCTGGCAGCAGTTTTTTTCTTTTCTGTTGTTTTTCTGGAGAAGAGAAAACATCATGCTGTTGCAAGCATTGGTCTGATCTGCGGCAATTTTGTCACTCTTGAATAGGTATTCATCATCTTCTTTTTTAGATATTTGGTATCCTTTTTCCGTTTAAATTTTTAAATTTGTGTTTGAAAATGAGAGGAATATACACACGGAAGAATTTAGATGCATCTTGTACAGTTACAGAATGTTGATCCAGTGTTATTGTAGCATAACTTGCAAAGTAGTTTAAAAGTGAAATATAACTAGAAAATAAGTTACTGTAATCACTCTTTATTTTGAGTGCAATAATTGAGTGAATCATTTTAAATATACAAACAGTAACACTTATTTATTCCAAGCTTTTTGATTTTTCTAGGTTCTCATTTGTCGAAGGAGAGTCAGTGGTTGATCTTAAATAAAGATGGGGAAGCAGAACAGCAAATTGAAACCAGAGGTTTTGCAGGACTTAAGGCAGAATACAGAATTCACAGGTAATACTCAAATTATTATTTACAATACGTATCATTATTCCCTAGGGACTTTCTTCCGAGGGTGACCATAGACCTTAAGAGAGTCAGACAGGGGCGCAAAAAATGCGGGATCTCGTGATCTTTCTGCAAGATTGAAACCAACGAGAGGCAATTTTCTGAAGTAATGACTTTTTTTGCAGACAAGGTACAAATTTAAGCATCCTGATGTATGTCTCCACTTCAACATTACAAGCAGAACTTGATTTGTAGAACGAACTTAACTGACATTAATTCCAAACCAAAATAATAACGTTTTTATCTAGCATTGAGTAGGAATTATTTGAATTTCCCACTCGCATGAGAAACAAGAGTCTACTTGAATCAAATCGCACACTGCCCAACGGTTTGGCAGGCCTCTCAATAAGCAGTGTTCTTCCTTTGTCCTGTGTTGTTCAAAAAAGTGTTCACAACGTACAACAATAGTGCCGAAACATTGAAATTGAGGTTGTCAAATTTTCATACTGCAGAGAGTGTTATGATAAAGTCGAGAGAGCGATTTAACTCAGGTAGACTATTGTTTTTTTGCCAAGGTTTGAATTTATATGTCTGAAAACGTTAACATTTTGGTTAGGAGTCATTTTCAGTAATTTTTGTTGTGTTTCAACCATGTGAAATTTTGATGAGAAAACATTTATTACTATGCTTAATTTAGCCCTTGTCTAGTGGTCCATTCTTAAAAAAAGCGGGAGAGTTGCAAATTTTATTAGGATATTTGATTCTTTGCCATGAAGTAGAATGTTTGTCCAACAAGGCAAATCAGAAATATGTTGCGAGGCAAAAATGCTGGATAGCGGCAAACGGTCAGCATTTTGGATCCTTCCCCTTGCCTGGATGCAAGTATTTCAACGTTTTGGAATTTTTTAGCCAACATGCATTAAAAAGCAGCATAAAGCTGCAAATCTCAATACAGAGGGAAAAAGCTCATATGAGCACAATTTTCCCTCAAAGAGATATGCTATATTGTGCTCATATGAGCTTTTTCCCTTTGTATTGAGATTTTCAGCTTCATGCTGATTTTTAACGCACACTTGCTAAACAATTCCAACATACTATCTTACGACCCGTTTGTCTGCCGCAATCAGTTCGTATTTCAATATTTATTTGAAATATACGAAAGTGTCTGAATATTTATCTCAAATGTCAGCAGAATGTCTTTTTAAGAGTCTATAAAATACTAATGTACAATTTTTTGGTAATGCATTTTGAAAGTATTTTTCATAAAAGATCAACATGACAAAATTGAGCCAGTAACAAAGCAGAATTTCTGCTGAAAGTGATCACCTGATTAATGAGAATGGATTTTTGCTCTTGTTTTTTTTCTAGATGCGGAAATCCAAGAATGGTACAAAGGATTCCTGAAAGACTGCCCCAGTGGTCACTTAAGTGTGGAGGAGTTCAAAAAAATTTATGGAAATTTTTTCCCTTACGGTGATGCTTCAAAGGTAATTATTGAACCAACAATGCTCACTATTTTTTTTATTTCTAACAAATACTTTATAGTAGTCACTCTAATGTATACTTCGTACTTATATACGATTTCTTACCATAAAATATTTTTATTCTCAAAATTATATTCACTTTTGGCAAAGTGAATTTTACTCATGGACTAGGCAAAGATCTTGCCCTTTTTCTAAACTATAACTTTCTTACCTTTCAAAAAGTAGAAATTACTTGCATACTAAACTCATGGTAACACTAATAGTGCCGGATGTACGAGGGTCATCCAAAAAGTAAGGTTCCCTACCTTGTATCTTCCGGACGAAACAAGATAAATCAAATCGGTAAAAACGTACATATTAGACATACTCTAAGCTTTAAAACAAGCTCAAGTTTTTGAAAATCGGTTGAAAACTTCGCGAGAAAACTCAATTTTACTGAGACGACCTCCCGTCGTCGCGTGCCCACCTCTGAGGTGAGGATGCGCGGAGAGTCCCTCACTTCAGACTTGGCTTATCGCCTCTGAACATCAAATTGAAAAGGAATTTAAAAGATTATATCAAGTAGGCCTTACCTTACTTTTTGAGATAGTCTCCGCATCTTTTTTGACATTTTTGGTATCATTACAGCAGCTCTTTCATGCCTTCCGCGTAAAAGGTCTCGTCTTGGCTCCAAAACCAGTCATTGCCAGCGATCTGCACTTCCAAATCAGTTGCTTACCGTGGTAAAATTTTTCCCCAATCCTCCGTACTCTCTTAATTTAGCCTCAGGTGACTTTCGTCTATTCCTGAGATGAAAAACTCCCACTGTGGAAAGCGATTTCCAACCAATTTAGAGGTGCAGATCGCTCGCAATGACTGGTTTTGGAGCCAAGACGAGACCTTTTACGCGGAAGGCATGAAAGAGCTGCTGTAATGATACCAGAAATGTCAAAAAAGATGCGGAGACTATCTCAAAAAGTAAGGTAAGGCCTACTTGATATAATCTTTTAAATTCCTTTTCGATTTGATGTTCAGAGGCGATAAGCCAAGTCTGAAGTGAGGGACTCTCCGCGCATCCTCACCTCAGAGGTGGGCACGCGACGACGGGAGGTCGTCTCAGTAAAATTGAGTTTTCTCGCGAAGTTTTCAACCGATTTTCAAAAACTTGAGCTTGTTTTAAAGCTTAGAGTACGTCTAATATGTACGTTTTTACCGATTTGATTTATCTTGTTTCGTTCGGAAGATACAAGGTAGGGAACCTTACTTTTTGGATGACCCTCGTAATGGACCACTAGACAAGGTACAAATTTCAGCATTCTGATACAGGTTTCTTAACCAAAATTTCACGTAGAACACGATGCGCACAACAAAAACTACCGAAATCAACTCCTCACGAAGAAATTAAATGATTCTTGGTGCGTGAATTCAAACCACCCGCTCATGAAAACTCAATGCTATACGTGATTCACATCGCGCGCTAAACGTCATCATGACAGTCTCTGCGATATACAAATCTGGCAACCTCAATCTTGACGCTTTGGCTCAGTTATAGCAAATTGCTTATAGTTTGAACAACACTTGGTGGGAAATGAACGTTTGCTCGATTGAGAGGCTCGCTGAAACCGTTGTGGTGCGCGATTTGACTTACGTAGAGCTTTGAGTTTCTTGTGAGCGGGCCTTTCAAATTCCTCATAACCAATGTGAAATAAAAACGTTAATATCTTCCTTAGGAGTTGATTTTAGTAATTTTCGTTGCGCAAATCGTGTTCCCCGTGAAATTCTGTTTCGGAAACATGTATTAGAATGCTTAAATTCGTACCTTGTCTAGTGGTCCATTAAAATCTGCAAAGCTATTAAAATGAAAACGAGAAGTAATGACTTTTATTATCTAAATAAGTAATAGAAAAGAAACATAAAATTTAGTAGCACAATTTATCAGGAATAGAGTCTATCGGCTCCTGCATCTGGGACAAAAAAATGTCTCCGACCGTGAAGTAGGGGGCTGAAAACTCCTTCATCATACACATTTTTATGACAAGTAGTAAAACAGTAGTTAAAGAGTGAACCTTTTTCTTTATTATTCTACTATTGACATGAGGAATAACTTATCAGTCCACATATTTTTTTATTGAAGTTAAGCATGAACGGCTTATGCATTAAACACATTGGCCAGTTAGCGCATCATCACAATTTTTTTCATGTTAGTTCCAAAACCTTGCATCTGTGGCAGAAAAAAAAAAAAAAAACCCTTTATCTTGTTGCCTTTACATTTTAAAAATATCTTTCAAGGGCCTTCACATTTTTCTGTAACTGAAATTTCAGTAATTAATCGGTGGTAAGATCGAAGGAGTTCTTGACCCATGTTCTTTGCTTTTCTCTGAGAAAAGCACTCACAGATTGAACTTAGGCGTTCATTAATTAAAATCTCAAATTAAGAATAAAAATTCTAAACTATCTCCAATTGACTCGGATGTTATTTTTGTCACATCATAGTGCATTTAGAGCAAAGATTTGGTATTACTGACAGGAGCCTTAAACAATCACCATTTACTTACTTATATGCTTGGTTTTGTTTTCCAGTTTGCTGAACATGTATTCCGAACTTTTGACGCAAACGGTGATGGCACAATCGATTTCCGGGAATTCCTATGTGCTCTGTCAGTCACATCCAGAGGAAAGCTAGAGCAAAAGTTAAAATGGGCTTTCAGTATGTACGATTTAGATGGGAATGGATATATTTCAAGGCAGGAAATGTTGGAAATAGTTTCGGTGAGTACTTACCAGTTTCCTGTGGCTCTTTTGTAAGTAAGGTTGCCAGGTTTTAAGATAAAATGTGAATATTTTACATGAGTCTTACTGGGAAAAAGTGCTGATTTTTCAACACTCACTCCTGGCAAAAATGTTTGAAAGAATCATCTTTGTTTGGTCTTTCTGCAAATATGTATGAATTGAAATTCAATGCCCAAATCTCTGATTATCTCTATTTTGTTTGGTTGTTTTGGATTGTACACATCTTACCGATTCATTTCTCGTGTTGAAGTCTCTTGGCAATTAAGTGTACAAGTGAAATATTTTTTTCAAGACCAAAGTTAGAACAAACCCGAACAAAATGTAAATTCATATACCTGAAACATCGGTGTGATTTATTCATCGAGTGCAGAAAATGGTTGAGTTTGCAAGTACCTGCTTTTGCATAGTGTAAGGAAATTTTTAGATGAAAATTGTACGTCTCCTTTTTTTCTAGCGCGGACAGAAAAATTAGAAGAACATGCTCATTTTTCCATTAATGTTACAACTTGTAGCTTAGACCTCTTTCCCGAGTTAAGACATTTTCCAAGATTGAGGAAATTTTAAGGCTGAGACTGCAACTGATCTGTTTATAACTTCCTGTAGGCTGATTATTGAAATTGATAGACAAAGCAATAAACAAAGAAGACATAGGGAGTATGGAGCGATCCTGTTGGTTGAAATGGGTGGTTTCTATTGATCAAGGGAGAAATTGATGGGCTAACTTTAGGATCTCTCATGGACTGCCATTACTTAGTCTATTACCTACCTCCTTTGTCCATTGCAACCACTCCTTTCCACCAGTTAGGCTCCCTCCATATCCCTTTTGTCTCCTTTGTCCATAGCTTTGTCTATCAGTTTCAATAATCGGCCTGCCGGCCAGGCCAGTTAAAGTCATTAAATGTTTCTTCATTTTTTAATACTTGTGCTTGTAAGTCTACTTTTACATGTTCATTAATTCCTTTGTATTTTTAAAACCGCAGGCAATTTACAAAATGGTTGGGTCAGTAATGAAAATGCCTGAAGACGAGTCTACCCCTGAAAAGCGGACAGACAAAATATTCCGGCAAATGGACAAGAACCAAGATGGTAAATTATCATTAGAGGAATTTATCGAGGGTGCGAAAAGCGATCCGTCAATTGTCCGGCTGTTACAATGTGATCCTCAGTCCCAATGAGACTCCACCAATTATTAGGTGTAACCCAATTCAAAGTAATAAATGCATAAAATCCTTCTTTTCACAGAAACGCTTCGCTCTTCGTCGAATCGTTTCGTTTGCTCACGGAGGTGCGTCATCTTAACACAGGCGTTAATTGTTGTCACCTCACTCTTGTAATCATTGAGTGTGTTTCATTATTCTTGTGATTATCTTTGTTGTTTTTATTCGACCTTCTTTCAATTGTTGTTTCCTTCTCGAATTCTATTAACTATTTCTGTGTCGAGTTTGTGACATCTTTTCAAAGACTGAAAGATTGATGTACCTAGGTATTCCATTTAGAATTATTGTAGAAATGGAATGTATACAATCAGATAAAATATCTTGCGGAAAGTTCTTACATGTTCGTCCCTGCAAGAACTTTTTTTGCGTAGAGTACTTTCGTTTTCACCCGTTTGTCCTCTTCTTTCGGAAAGTAGTGGACTAGTTCTTGTGCTGGGAATTTTCCTTGCTAAAATTGAAAAGACATGATTCTTAACTATTGTGGACACACTAAAAAGCAGAGATTATTGAACCAAGTTGTGCAAAGTAGTAGTGTTCTGGCTCATGCATACATTGAGTTGCAGATTAAGTTGGAAACTGAAAAGCAAAAGTCAATGGGTCAATTTTATTTCATTTTTTTTTTCAATTTAATTTTTTTTTAGTTCATGGAAAAGCAATTCTGACAAACAAATGTATTGGCTTTAAGCTCTGTAGTATAAATTTTTAGATCTTCTGGCATTTACAATTTTTGTCCTTAGATTATCTTCCACTTGCAAATTTATTTCAGGGATCATCCTGATTCTGTGCTGTAAGCATGTTCTAAATGAAGTTTTCATCTGTAAAAGATATAAGTGAAAAGAATAAGGGTAATTGTAACGTCGTTGATTTGCGTTTTGAATTTCTTCTACAACTCAATCAAGTCTTCTGATAGATTAAGTAAGAAATAGCTGAGGCACAGAGCCAAGTTTTGTTTTGCAAGCACATTTGCAAGATTATCAGCTTATTTCTGATCACAAATTCGACATAGTTATCTCTTCTACTATCTTTAAATTAAGACAGAGTGTTTGCAAGTTTAAGGGTCTGCCCGTGCTTTTCACTTCCATGGCAGGAAAAAGAAAGTTGTTAACAATGAAGCACTCTATGAAAGTCCTCCAAAAATTAGAAATCAGACTCTTAGTACCTGATATCATTGCTTACGTTTAAGTATGTTTGAAGGGAACGAAACATTTTATTGGTCATGGGAAAGTTTTCCTTGAAAATTGTTTAATATTTTCTATCACATGCCGTGACCAGTACTTTTACCAAAGAGCAAACCAACCATTACAAATGAGTTGGCCCAGTAAAATTTCAGAAGTAATATATTAGCACTATTTCAGGCTGGTAATGAGTATGATTAGAACAAAGAGCTTAACTTCAGATTATAGCCAATTTTAAAAAAAATATTGAGGTAAGAAATGGATGGAGATGGCTTTCAAAATGATCCTTTTTAAAATACAATTTTTCATTGCAAGACAATGACTTTGACGATATTTAAGAATTTGTTGGAAACACATTACCAGTCGCTGACTTGCCAAAGATAAGGGCAAAGCATCCGAGATGAGTTTGTTCCTAAAATTATTTTCACTAAACGAGAATGTCTTTCCAGATGAGTGCAAATACCCTCAATACGCAAACACTCTGGGCTTTTGTTTATATTCAATCTTCTTGGAAATAATTGTATCAGTTACCATAATGAATTATCATGGATAAGCAGTATTTTTATGCATCAGTAAGTGCAAAAAAAATGTATTATTATTAAAATAATTTCTACGAATTGAGTTTTTTAACTTCAATACTGTAAGATAATATTTAACTAAATCTTTTCTTGTTTCTGAATTATCATTTCTCTTTTTTGTGTTTTTTTTTTCACAATCATATTCTTTAACGTTTTTTTAACGTTGCCTGTCTCACTTTCCTAATTTTTGATTTGACCTCACCCTTTGTAAGACCCTGTAATTTTTCTAATAATTTAATTTTTTTCTAAATGAGTAGTTTAAGATTATTATTTTGGTAAGTTTTAATTGTTTTTTCCCTATATCTATCTTTATTTCACTTAACCATGGCAGTTTTGCTGAACCCCCTTTTCCATCCTCCAGTTTGTAGAAATGTTCCTATCAGAGTTGTAAATGAATATCTAGGAGTATTTTATTTTATTCAATTTTATTTGAGCAATTCAAAACTAACTTTAAAGTATGTTCCAAAAGGAAAGTAGAATTTTTGAAGAGCATCACATAATCTCATCTAGTCCGCAATCAGCATGTAAAAGTTTACCCTGATTAGCGCCCCATAAATATCGAACTTCATCTTTCATTATCAAAAATCCAATAAAAATTTCCAACTGCTGAAGCTTAGCAATTGTTTCAACATGTCTACCTACCCCTGTAATTGTTAATCTAAATTTTTTCTTTCTTTTTCATCATTATTTATATTGTATTTGCCACTGAAGGCCCCAAATTTTTTTTTTAAAAAATTTAACCCTTATTTTTCAGTATTAGAAATTATTTGAATTTGAATTTTCCCCCATTTTTTACTTATAGTTTCTCATCTGAGTGTTTCTATTTATGTGAAAGGCACTATACAGCCTTTTTCTTTTTAAAATAATCATGTTCTCTAAATTCAGTGGCCTAAATGGAATGGTTTATACGAATCTTCTGCAAAATTTTGTGATTGGTCATTATAATTATACAGGGCTAGGAGTGTGGCAAAGGTATTTCTTTTCGATTGCTCTTTCCATATTTTTATTTTTTCTGCCTTTTCACACTGATAGTGGATTGACCAGGATGTTTGAACAGTTTCTTTTATGGGATTTCCTCTTTACAAGTTCTATAATGCTTTTCATAGCCAATGCTGCTAGGCTTGTTTCTGTATGCGTTTGTTGATGGTTCTTTTGGGATAAAAAAACCAGAATATCAAACTGAATTTTGGTGGGAATAAAAGTTAAGTTTTTTTTTGTTCTCGTCTTCAAATAATGTTTTCCTAGAAATGCCCTTGCATCACTCAATGCCTTTGAATTTCATCTTTGTTTAAGTATCCAAGTACATAGTTTGTTTAACTTTACTGATCGTCAACTAGAAATGTTATATTTCAGTCAAACCTCTTGCATTCATCTTTGGCCCTCCAAGATTTACTTTTCCACTGATGAATCAAAGTAAGAGAAATGAATGGAAAAACTGAAATGAAACTCACCATAAATCAGTTCTACAGTTTGTGCTTAACAGATTTTTACATGTCCCAGGATCTTATGTTGAGGGTTATATGTAAGAAGCTGAATTATCACAATAATTTTCATGATTTCAATAAAGATATACCTTTCGAAAATTATAGAGCATGATATCTTCTATAGTGTAAGAGTTAACCGTCAATGATTTCACCCAATAGCCTATTAGTCCATGGTGTCTAGGACCAGTTGATAAATTCCTCTCCAAACGGATTCTAAGAATTTGAAAATTTGCTGTCTCAGTTTTTAATTCTTAAGACTATTAATATTATTTTTTTCTGTAATATAAAAACTACCTCTTATCTCCTTTTTTGTTAGTTACAAAGGTGATTTCTACAATTTTGTAATATTGTTTTTCCTCCATCATGTAAATTACCAGGAAAGATCAATTCTGGGTACCTAAGAAAACATGCCTTGATAAGGATTGATTTTTACATCTGTGTTCCATCGGACAAAATTCAATATTACCAACTTGTAAGTGTTGCCACCATCCAGTTACATCACCTTGTAGGCTTTAGTATGGGGAAAAAAATACCTACAATACTTTCTGACCAATCAGAAGCCAAACTCTTATCATGTAACAATCGATCCATCATAAACTGATATTAGGAATTGATCTAATTTATCCATCAAAAATTGATTTGCAGATACTGTATGTATCTGCATTCTGCAATTGATTTACTCGAACTGAGTGTCGGTAATTTTGCCAACTTGTGCTCAAATTTAATTTAAAATTGATCTTTCATTATTTAAAGAAAAAGACCCAATGAAGAGGTATCAGTTTTAGGCCGAATTTGAATGGACTTGGGTGAAATTACCGACACTCTCGTCTATAAATGACTTGTGTGTTGACCAGGGATCCCTTAATCTGTTTGTTAAGATTTACAAAAAATTGATTGACCAAAGCATCTTTGTTGGACTCCCTCCTCTACCCCTGTTGGCCTTTTTTTGCTTCCATGCATATATTTTTCATTCACTGCTCTTAAATTTATTTACTTCAACAACAAATAAGTCTCTCTGATGTATTCATTTTTGAAAAATTTGAATTTGAAACCAGTACTTATTCTGTAGATCACAAGTGTCAACAGAACATACGTGTGGAGGGCTTTTTTCCCTCGCTGTTTCGTTTTTTCCTCTATCTAAGACAGTCACCTTTAAGAAACAAGAAATTGCTACTAAAAGCATTCATGAATTTATAACCTCTGTGGCAGGAAAATTGGTATACGTCCGAAATCAATAATGACAGTAATTTCCTAATTATTCATGCAAATAAAAATGTGATTTTAAGTGTATTTTTCAAGATAACTTTCTCTTTATCCTCATTAGTTTCTTCTTTTTTTTTATTTTACTAACCCTAATTTACGTGTGCACTCTTTTCAATAAGACTATTTTTAATTTGTCTTGCCTGTAAAACGACCCTGTAAATATCTTTAAAATTTTCTGGTGAAAATTGATTTGTCACGGGGGCCCTAAAAGTTTCATTGAGTTCTCCCAAGGCTGGAAAGTTCAACAAACATTGATGGCGTTTGACTCAGTAGTTGGAGTTCCGAGTTCACCTTTGTCCTCAAAATCCAGGTCCCATCTGTCCTATGAAAAAGAGAATCAAAGGCGATTGATACTCTCAGTTTATTAATATTACTTACAAACATTTCCATTTCAGTGCCCCTGAAGAAGTTGACAAATTAAATTTTCATCTGGATCTCTTTTTTCTTCTTTTTTTTTTCTATTTTAACTTTTATATTTATGAATAAAGATTCAAAGTTCATATCATCATTTGCTCCTCTTGAGATCTTTCCTGATCCGCTTTTTGTACATTATTGACAATTAAAGAAGTACTTACCCTTGTAAAGGAAATAGTCTCCTATGGATTAAATGATGCTCACGAGAGGTGACCATGCAATTGCGCTTGCGGTCGGTCAAATCGTTCATAACAGACGAATTTCATTCTAATAGGAGCCTGTGATGCTTATCACTTGAAGGTGGTCTCAATCACGGAGAAATTATGTACCTTTAGGGTGTCCTAAATAAAGTGGCATGAACTTTTGAGATCGATTTCTTCATAAAATGCGGAATGCTAAATTTCAGATTTTTCAACCCTCCCCTCTTAAGTAACGCTTGTGACGTAGGTCCTTATCTATTGAGTATTGATGCATGAAAACAAAATTGCGGATTTCTGTCCACATCCTCTCTACCCCCTGTTACGCATTTGATGGACAGTCTTTGAGGAAATCAGACTATTCTTATCAATGTAATTTAAGTCTAAAATAAACAAAGGAATATATGTCTCCCTTAAAATGGCTCAAACGGAAAAATTTCATAGAACAAAATAGTCTAATTTCGGTCTGAAGGATTGATCCATGAAGTTCAAGCCATTCGATTCGAGACACCCTGTATTTCCATCAACATAAATCGATTGGTTTAAACAATTTGCCAAAGAAGACAAAACGCTATAAGAATGGATTCTTTGGTAGGCAGTTTTTCCATGCCACGAGTGAAAAATACTATATGAGGCAAGTAAGAGAAAATAAAGGAGGATTCCCTAATCCTCAATCTTTTTAGAATGTAAATTAACTATTATTTAATTGGTCAGTTTTGGGGCCCTCATTTAAGACGTTGAGTACTGGTTAGAAATTGTCAAATATTTCATTCTGGGTTTTTCATTTTCTTTTTATTTTATTTATGTTTGTACCTATGTATGTAATGCATGTGTCAAATCTTGAAAAGTTGTACCTAGATTGTTTTTTAATCTAGGTATGTAACCATGGCGGAGAATTGGTTTTTTAATGCGCTGTTTCATACATATGGAGTGATAAATCAAATTGAGATGAAAGTTTTGGATTTGATATTTTCTTTTATTGATCCAACATGAAATCAATGGTATATAAAAGGTGTCATTTCTATTTCAACTCTTAAAATAACCGTAATTTGAGTCCTATGAATCCTGTTTTTGTGAAAGTATAGAGGAAAGAAAGGGGTCTTCAAAATCGTGATCAGTACAACATTTTTCAGTGGTGATAACAATTGCCTTTGAGTTGCTTCTTCAAAATATAAATGAGAAATCTGATGTAGACTTGGGAGGCATAGACCTTTATCATTACATCAAGCAGATTTTGTCAAATCTTACAAAAAAAGGAAATATTTTTTGACGATTTGTTACTCAGCAGTTAAGATTGAATGTTTCCGAAACTCAAGTTAGAATTCATAGTAATCACATGAATGGATTCATATTCTAAAAATTGAATGAGGAATAATTTTTCCTAATGTTTAAGCTCCTTTTAAGCTGTTATTCTATTTGGTCTATTCTTCTCTGAGAATCTTGGTCGCTCTTGAGACAAGAGCTACCTATTGAACTCATTTTAAATTGATGCAACAAAGAATACATTCTCAATACTGCCTCTCTTTAATTTAAGATAAAGTATACCAATGTTGCCGTGTCCAGACTTTGTCCAGAGAAGACTACCGCCACTCATGATAATTTACTACGTAAGTAAAAAAAAAAAAAAAGAATGAATATGTCCCTTGCAGCTGAACCTGTAAGTTAATCTTTACAGCTCTTGATAGCAATTTGGCAATTTTTACTTTTTTCTTCCAGTAGGTATTATTTTGTACTTGCATCACCAGAAAGAGCTCAATCAGATCACCCTCGATAAATTGACAAAAAGATAAACTTTCCGCAGAAAGAAGTACATATAATTTTTCTTGCAATATTAGCATAAACTATTTCCCTCTTAAAATAATTCAGTTTGTCTCCTAATATTGAATAATTAGTTTTTATAGCTTGATTTTTTTGCTCGTTTCAATCTCCCCCTGCTTTTCAAATCCTTCCTCTTTGTTGCCAATTTGAAGCTGAAGAAAATTCTGGTTTACTGGTTGAAGTTTCATTTCACATGGATTTTTCTAAAATTCTTGAAATACATGTCATTTTCATTTTACAATACTTGAAATTATTTATTTTATTCCACTAAATATTTAAATGTCTTTTCATAGCTGTGCACGGATGCATTGTGTACATTACCTAAAAGTATTAGAAACACCAAACTGTCCGGAATTGGATTAAGACACGACTTTTAGTGGTTTGAAGATTCTTTGAGAACACATCAAAATCCCTTCCACTAAGAAGTCAGACAATTGACAACATACCTACTACCTACATAGTTTTTCAGATCTTAAAAATCAAGTTGTGTTAGGGAATGTAAAAGAAGCAAAAAAAAGAATGTAATGGCACAGTTTACTCCGAAAACCATAATGAAATAAAGAAATGTATGCTATGGCAGAGGTATTTTCACTATATCTGGGCATGTGACAATGTGACTGGGCTAATCACCAGCCACATTTTACTGTAATGAAGAAGACCTGGAAGGACATCCTTCTTGCACATAATTTTGAAAGACCCCGAAATTCTAACCCATGTTACCAAGCTTGACACTCCCAAAAAATTAGGACTACGAAGTTCGAGGCGTAGAATCGATTGCACGCGATCTCGAGGCTCCCCGCGACTTCCGAAGCTGGGAAACGAGTATTTTTTTAAGATTTTGAGGATTATTATGATTCGTGATCATTCGCAGCTCCAGCGCTCCAGCGGAACCGTGGAGCTTTTTACACTTGAAAATTATGGACTCAGCGGGTCACTTAAAAGGAACCCATCCTGGTCTCAGCTCCATCAGAGAACTTTTGAGGCTCGGTCCCGAGGTTCGGCGAGGCTTCCTGAAGCAAGAAACAGTCAAAACCTGGTCGAAAACGAGTGTTTCTGGCCAGTTTTTGACTGTTTCTAGCTAGGAGGCGTTTTCGCGGATAGCGCGAAGCGACGGACTCGCGGAGCTTTTCCGACAGGAAAATCGCACTCAGCGGGTCATTTCCAAGCGAGCTTGCTTGGTTTCGGCCTGATCGGCGAACTTTCGATTTTGACCCTAAAAATTTAGTCCATGTAACCCCTGTCGATTTTTCTCGATGTTCGTCGTGGAAAAAAATTTCGAGATTCCTGTCGAATCCTCTGATTGATTTTAAAGCGATTTTTGAAGCATGCGATATCCTGAAAAATAATGTGAATTGATGTGATCTAAAATGCTATCTCTGCACCTGTTTGGTTCATTTTTGTGAGACTTGGTGGTAATGGATATTTTTCGCGTAGAGGTTGAATTTTCATTCAAAATTTTATAGTTTAAAAATCCAAGATGGCGTATGTGGTCTAGAATACTAACTTTGTGCCTTCGAAATTATACGACTTTGCAATAGAGGTATCTATCCTTTTTAAGTTCAGCTTCAAATCGATGTACTCTCAGCTAACTTAAACCTCGATATTGGCTCGCTCTTCAACCGTCATGAAATGAATCTGTTCGTCTTGTTTGTTTGTTTTTTTTTTTTAAAAAAATTATTCATTCATTTATTTTATATTCAATTTAAAACAGGAGTCGCTTATCGTACGATCTATAGGACTCTACGGATGCCAGTGAATTCACATACGTTAGTGCGCTTTCAATTCCGTCTGATACTGTGCAATACTGCAATACTTCCGAGGTGGTTTAGTTGCTCAGAGCGCCTTCAAGAGTATCGACTTGACTTGATGGCGGAAGATCACGATTGCCGCTGAGGTTACACCCTAACGCGTTTTCTCGTTTACGTTCTCGTGTACACCTTTTCTCATCACCAAAAGTGAGATAAAAAAACGCCCATACCTCAATTTGCGACGCTGCAACTTTTTCACTGCCTATTTTGAATGAGTAAACGAATATTTTAAAATCAGCCGTGATTTTTCCGAGATGTGGCAAAATATATTATTTGAATGTGCTTCTAGCGAGCTGATAATAACAGTGATTGTCACTTAGTACGTTACGGTGCCTTATTACCTCTTCGGGCCCATTTACGTGCAGGTTTATAACGTTTCGGGTCTGTTTTTGTTTGTTCCAGGGTTCCTATACTTCTTTTCCCCCTTTTTAATTAAAGCATAGACTTTAGACATTAGACTGAAATCAAAAATTCGCAAATTCAACAATCACTGTTATTATCAGCTCGCTAGCAGCACATTCAAATAATGCTTTTTGTCATACCTGGGGAAAATTACGGCAGATTTTAAGTGTTCGTGTTCTTCTACGTGTTCAAAATAGGCAGTGAAAAAGTTGCAAACTGTGGTATGGATGTATTTCATCTCTCCGTCGATGATGAGAAATTGTGTAAATCCACACGTTCTGGGGTGTAATGTCGGCGGCAGTCGTGATCTTCTGCCATCAAGTCGAGGCGATACGCGTGAAGGCGCTCTGAGCAATTATTCCACCTCGGAAGTATTGCACGGTATCAGACGAAATTGAAGGCGCACTAACGTAGGAAAATTGACTAGTAGCGTTTATCGTACGATCTGCGACTCCTGTTTGCTCGAATTTTTTTAAAACTCGGTGGCAGGCTGCATTTCTTGACGAAAAACCTGATACAACATAGACTAGGCATGTTTCGATTATCGATTCATAATAATTAATCGAGTGCATAATAATCGATTTACAGTTATCCGATTAATCGTCTAATCGATTGTTAGTTTACGATTAATCAGCAATTTGAGATTATGTTAAAAAACGTGTCCTAGCTCCAAAAAATCTAACATTCAAAAGATTTTAGTGGTCAAACTAGCCATTTTCAGCACTTTTCGAAAACAGCGATTAACTATCGATTATCGATTAATCGATTATTTCGCTGTCGATTGATGTCTCTCTCCCTCTCTTGTTTTTACAGCTTTTATCCCAATTTTTGTGTCGTTGTTTAATCTCTTGACCGATTAGCTATATAGTTCGATTACTGATTATCGATCATTCGATTATTTAAATAATTGAGTATGCCAACGATAGATATAGTGGACAAAGGGAAAATGAAGCAATCCTGTTGGTGGAAGCGCGCAGGTGGTTGCGATGGACAAAAAAGACGAGTAACGAACGGGAACTTACGTGGGACTTTATAGTTAGTCCATCATTTTCCTCCTTAGTCTATAGCAGTCATCCGTTTCAACCAATGAGATCGCTTCATTTTCCCTATGTCTCGTTATCTATCGCTTTGTCTACCAATTTAAATAATCAGTCTGTAGGTAGAGCTATCCAATTACCTTACGGTTCAGGTTTGAAAGCCGCCAATTCCAAGTTTTTGGTAATAGGTAAAGACAAACTTAAGCGGGCTGATTATTGAAATTGATAAACAAAGCTATAAACAAAGAGACAACGGAAAAATGAGGCGTTTATATGAGTGGAAGCGAGTGGTTACAATGGACAAATGAAGTGAGTAATAGATTAATCAACGGCAATTCACGAGGGATCGTATAGTCAGTTCATCCTTTTCTCCCTTGGTCTACAACAATCACCCATTTCAACCAATGGGATCGCTCTTTTTTCCCTATGTCTTCTTTGTCTATCGTTTAGTCTATCGATTTCAATAATCAGCCCGCTGATCTGCGAAGTTACTAATTTATATTACCAATGCAACTTGTTCAGGTAGCTTTGTTACTCGCATAGATTCACGCATGCCTACCTATGCGTGTGGTAGAATTAGTGTCATTGTGTACATGCATCTCTGGAGACCTAAACGCTGGGAGTAAGAAAGTAAGCGACGATTTCAAAATTGCGATGATTACTTCAGACTAAAATTGATGACTTTAAGCCAAAAAATATGTGGCGATTTTTGGAAATTGTTAAGAATTTACAGCTCATCGTGACGTTTCATTAAAATACTTCATGGAGAATGAAATATTTTTACTGTTTGACAGTCATTCAAAAGTTCAATTGTTTTCCGAGATTTTTGATGACGATTCCTTTTTAAGACAGATACCTACCAATTTTTGATAATTTTGAAGGTGCCAAGATAGCACTGCAAGCCACTTCTGCCATCTTGGAGTTTTAAAATTCAAAACTTTGACTGAAAATTCGACCTCTACGTGAAAAACATCCACTGCCACCAAGTCTCACAAAAATAAATCGAACAGGCTCCGAGATGGCATTTTAGGCCGCATCCAGTATAATGGATTTTTAAATTATGAAAATTTGAGTTGGAATTCAAGATTTCCGTCAAAAAATGCCACCCTGTACCGAGTTTCAAGAAACGTCCTGGAGTGTATTGACGGCGGCAATCGTGATCTTCTGCCATCGAGTCGAGGCGAAACTCTTCAAGGCGCTCTGAGCAACTATATCACCTCGGAAGTATTGCACAGTATCAGACGAAATTGAAGGCGCACTGAAGTAGGCAACTTGACTGGTAGCGTTTATCGTACGATATGCGCCTCCTGATCGATCAATTTTTTTGAAACTCAATACCACGTGGTATTTTTTGACGGAAAACCTGAATTTCAACTCAGATTTTCATTATTCAAAAATTCAAGATAGTGAATGGTGTCCAAGATGCTATCTCGGCACCTGTTTGATTCCTTTTTGTGAGCCTTGGCGGCAATGGAAGTTTTTCACATAGAGGTCGAATTTTCACTCAAAATTTTATAGTTTAAAAATCCAAGATGGCGTATGTGGTCTAGAATACTAACTTTGTGCCTTCGAAACTATCCGACTTTGCAATAGAGGTATCTATCCTTTTAAGTTCAGCTTCAAATCGATGTACTCTCAGCTAACTTAAACCTCGATATCGGCTCGCTCTTCAACCGTTATGAAATGAATCTGTTCGTTTTGTTTGTTTGTTTTTTTTTTAAAAAAAATTATTCATTCATTTATTTTATATTCAATTTCCAACAGGAGTCGCTTATCGTACGATCTATAGGACTCTACGGATGCCAGTGAATTTACATACGTTAGTGCGCCTTCAATTCCGTCTGATACTGTGCAATACTTCCGAGGTGGTATAGTTGCTCAGAGCGCCTTCAAGAGTATCGCCTCGACTTGATGGCGAAAGATCACGATTGCCACTGATATTACTCTCTGACGCTTGCGCAGTTACCCATTTTCTCATCATCAAAAGTAAGATGAAAAAACGTCTATACCTCAATTTGCGAAGCTGCAACTTTTTCACCGTCTATTTTCAACGAGTATAAGAACATGAACACTTTAAAATCTGCCATGATTTTTCCAAGATGTAGCAAAATACATTATTCGAATGTGCTCCTAGCGAGCAGATAATAACAGTAACTGTCATTCAGTACGTTTCCGTGTAACCTCTTCGGGCCCATTTACGTGCAGGTTTATAACATTTCGGGTCTGTTTTTGTTTGTTCGAGGGTTCCTATACCCCGACTTCTTTTCCCCCTGTTTAATTAAAGCATAGACTTTTAGTACAGGCGCCTGGTAGCTAAAAATGAGGCTACCTGGAATTTCGGGTACACAGCGATTTTTTTGGCTTACTTCATGTTTTTTGGGTCGCTAAATCCGAATCTGAAGTTTCTTACCGCGTATCTGGTGAAAATTTTCCGCCATTTTGAAAAAATGACCTAAAAAGGCCTTTTTTGCGTTTTTTTTTAATATAGCGGCTACGCATGGCAGAAAGTCCCAGATTTAGTTAATGTTTTGAATAGCTGACATAATTTGGAAGAAAATAGTGTATACATATGCTACATTTGCTTAAAAATTGAGGAAGATACAGCATCGTGAACATCGCGCCCATTCACGTTTTCGCGGCGCACCCGTCAACGCGCGATCCGGCTCGCCGCGGTCAGCCAAGTCCCGAAGCGTTCCCAAGTTCCGAGATCCGAGGTTCCTCAATTTTTGAGCAATCCTAGCATATTTATATACCATTTTCTTCCAAATTTTGTCAGCTATTCAAAGCATTAACTAAATCTGATACTTTTTCTCATGCGTAGCCGCTATATCAAAACAACCGCAAAAAAGGCCTTTTTAGGCCATTTTTTCAAAATGGCGGAAAATGCTCACCAGATACGCGATAGGAAACTTCAGATTCGGATTCAGCGACCCAAAAAACATAAAGTAAGCCAAAAAAATCGCTGTGTACCCAAAATTCCAGGTAGACTTCCCAGGCGCCTGGACTATATCTCCATTGCGGTGTCTCAAAATTTCCGTTCTTATGTCATCTTTTCCATGAGAAACATTCCAAATTTACGACTTTGAATTTCGAACCAAATCTTCTGCTATCGAATACGAAAAATCATGGAGAATTTAAGTTCTATGTTGACCAGCTTCTCGAAAGAAAAATACAATTTCTAAGGAAGTCTGCAACGTCGCAAATGGAGAAACGTCGTCTCTCATTTTGCCCAAAAATATGTATGTATAAAATTGAAGGCATCATGACTTTCCTCTCTCAACTTTTATTCGTCTGTAACGATGAACAATGGGACGCGCTTGCTACGGCGCCTTGATACAACTATACAACCTCGACGGATGTCCGTATTGCGTTCAAAAAATTGAAGGCGTTTTGACTCCCTGCTCATACTACCTGTAGTTGATTCGATCGACAAACGCGTCGGTCGGCGGTGACGGGGACTTGATGCAACTATTTGAACTTGATGGATGTCCGTATCGCACCGACTGAAGTGCGAAACCACGTATCTCCATTGCGGTGTTTCAAACTTTCCGTTCTTATGTCATCTCTTCCATGAGAAACATTCCAAATTTACGACTTTAAATTTCGAACCGAATCTTCTGCTATCGACAGGGCCGGATTTACGTTTTTGGCGCCCTGTGCAGAAATTTTCGAGGCGCCCCTCGCACGTCCTCCCCTCCCCCGCCCGCGCATTTCCCAACCCGACGGTCGTCGTTGGTTACTACGTGCTAACTCTAACTTTTTAACTCTAATTTTTTGAGTGAGTGAATGATTCTGGGGAAGAAACCGAAACCAGGTTCCTGTTACTTTTAACTACGAAAGTAAGAGAAAGTTTGACCCTTAAAGTCTAGGGTTCGGTCATTTAAAAGACGGAACGCAGTAAATTAATGGTTCTTTGATGTAATTTTGCAGAAGAAAATTCTGGTGAGACAAAAATAGGCATTTCATATGCATGCACAGGCACATATGGAGTAATAATATGCAATATTCACATTGTTAATGTTTTTTTTTAGTTTATAACTTACGAGATAGTCAGATAGTGTGTCTCCATTGCCTTTATACAATCAATCAACAATCAGAGTCTCTGAACTTTCGACGCAATTCTCAATTTTTTGCAGATTTTGGAAAAAAACCCCAAAATTTGGCGCCCCTCAAAATCTGGCGCCCTGTGCAGCTACACCGATGCACCATAGGTAAATCCGGCCCTGAAAATTTGAAGAATGAATGGGTAAAATTGATGAAACGGTTCATGCAGAGTGCAGACAAAAATATTCGACTGAAGAGTCGATCGAAAATTAAATGAAAACAAGAAGCAGGGGCGAATGCGAGGAAATTTTCACCTGTGAAAAAGAGATTTACATAGGTGGAAAATTTGAAGGTAAAGAGACAGCGTTAAATTGCCAATAAAGAATTGTAATGAAAGTTTTAAAAGGAAATAAGGGTAGATTTGCGCAAACGAATGAATAAGTTCTCTTTTAAGAATGCAAAACTACACTTCTTAAAAAATGGAAAACTTGTGGAGGACTAGGCTAAAAACAGGCATAAACACAAGTTGTAATTAGCTTTGATCTTCGTCGCGGACGCAGCTACGCACCATTAAGAATACCCATAAAGTAAAACGGAGTTGACAGCATTATAGCATGTTAAAATCTTACGTCCACGTTCGAAAAAATCTCCGGGAAGAGCGCCCACTACGTGTATAGTATGGTGAATGAGCAAAATGGGCATCTTTTGGGTCTTAATTTTTTACAACTATCTACATGAATAGCAAATGACACATTTGAAAAATAATGAGAAAATTATTAAATATTTAAAAACGATTAAAATTCCAACAAAATAATATTTTAATTGCATTAAAATAATTTAATCATAAATCAAAAATATTTACTTCGATTGAAAAGCCACAAAAAATTACCTATGACGATAGCTAACAAACCTAATTTTTCCCTTTCTTTCTATTAGGTCCATAATAGCCATTCAGACACCTTGAAGAGATCAATCGTGTGGTGCTGGCGATTGGTCTTTGTGTACAGACTCAATATGTCGCCGAAGTGCAAATTCTGTTGCGTAACGATGCCCACAAGCTACGCAAAGTGTGGCGTCAGTGTGATACGCTCTGTGTGCACTTAAACTATTTTCGTGTGCGAATTTTTTCGGGCATTTGTCACAAGCATACTTTAGAGGCTGTTTGTCGATTCCTGAAAACAGATGCATAGGGGAAAAATTGAAAACACCATGTATGAATGACATACATGAAATTGAACAAATTTCAAACAAGCTGGAAAGTCAAATATTGTTCAATGCCTAGGAAAAATTGGGTCAGGATCAAAAATACCGATTTTCAGTTTTCGATAAATAGTTTCTAACCCTTCTTCCAAACATTGGATCAAAGATTTATGCCTTAATTTTCAATAATGTCATCAATACGTGTGTGCTACCAATAATGGTATGAATGTTTGTAGTGAATCGTTCCTGAGACTGGCAACAGCACCAGCGACTTTAAACTGCGATTTTTTCGAATTCCTCGTCTCTCGTCTGTCTCCCAACCAACGTTGTAATTGCTACGAAAGAGTCAGATTTGTCTCTGCAGTCTGTCTACATCCAAATGGTCAAAAAGCTAAAGAAAATTTCTACTAACAATTCTGTCATCTATTTGCTGTATTTGTTTCTGATGTCTCTGAACTACAATGAATAACGATCTAAATGTTCAATTCGCCAAAAAATATCTACACATTGACCACTCCGTCAAAAATAATATGATCATAATAATTCCCGTATTGAAAATGAATCGAATCGATTCCCTCTTAAATGACGTCAAATAAGACTCCAACGACCCTGGTAAAAATTGGCAGTAGAATCTGTGTTCAAAAATACCATAGACCTACAGCCGGCTGTACAATGTCCAATAGCTTCTATAGCCGGCTACATAATTTCTAATAGCCTTTTATAGCTGATTGCGATGAAGCAACAGCCAGGCGATAAAGTGTATGCTAAACGTTACTAATCACGGATGCTAGGAATTTTTGCTAGGAGTTTTTGGACTGCTGCTCTCTTGTTGGGCCGAAGTATATTGATTTATTTTGCGAGGAAATCTCCGTACTTTTGGTGGATGCCTGCCATTACTAATATATTAGAGCGCCTTCAGTTTCGTATGATACTGTGTAATACCTTTGGTGTGAAATAGTTGCTTCAAGCGCCGTGGCACGCTGCGGCGCGGCAGGCGGGCAGCCAGCCCGAAACGCGCATTGGCGCCTACAAACCTAACAGGGATACTTCACGCTTTTCGCAATGCGTGAAGTATCCCTGTTAGGTTTGTAGGCGCCAGTGCGTCGCCGCTCGCTTTGTGTTAGGCTCTAATAATAAATCTGGCGGAGTCAGCGTTATTCAACTCATGATTTTGAAATGTTTGCACATACTGTATGGATTATTCTCATTTTCATTGATGAAAAAAAAATATGTATTAAAGGAAAATATAATGTGTGTTGTGTAAATATTGGGGTGGTTCCGTATCAAACCTAATGATTTCCAAAGCACACGAATTCCTACACAATTTCTTATAGCCTTTCATAATCGATGGCGAAAAAGCAACAGCCAGGTGATAAAGTGTAAAGCCCGGCGATAGGAACTATAGCCCGGCTGCATAATTTTTTATCGCTTCGTATAGCCCGGCCGTTCTCCGCATTCTACAGCCAGCTATATGCTTTTCTGTAGCCTTCTTTAGCCGGCTATAAGAATTCCAATGGTATTTTGAAACGCAGCTCTTATCGCCAATTTTTACCAAGGGAATTAAGTCGAATAGAGTGATTTAAATTTAACAGGAGTAATTTCAGCGTTATTTACAGTTAAGTGATTTAAAATATAGCCGCATTACATGCACGCACTGGAAAAAAACACATTGGATCTCATTTGGAGTCTAGGCTCTTGAAAACATTGACAAGAAAAAATACTCTTGATTCAGTCGGATTTTTGTTTGAATCAAAACGGAATCCGCTTAAATTAAGAAGCTTGGTTCTTGATTTAAGCTAGATTCTGATTGAATCAAGAGTACTTTTTCTTGTCGATGTTTTTAAGAGTCTGGACTCTAGATCCAATGTGTTTTTTTTTCCAGCCCGAGTAAAACTTTACACGACCTTTTCTTCAGATCGGGAGCGCTTGTTCTTATTTTCAACAGTTATATCAGCTTTTATGATGATTATTATTAAATGATTAATAATTTGATTAAATTTTGGTTGTAGGTAGAGAGGTTCACCTATATCATGTGCCTTGATCATGTGATTCAAATATTTGCTTCGTAACTGAAAAGTCTTCCTGCACCACTCGATTGGACAGGTGGTCCCGCCTTTGTGGAAGTGCATGTGATCCAGTAATATCCGCTCAGTTTTATACGAATTTGAACATTCAGGACACTGGAAACGCGGGAGCTTGCCGGCCGTTTCTGATGAACCCTGTTTTCCAAACTCTGAAAATATAAATGATTTTGCAATGTACGAGTGTGAGCTGCGACCTCTTTGAAATTCTTTGTTAGAATGCACAGTGGCTTATAACTCTTTCATGTACTATTGAGCTGCCTGTATAGTCATTACACTCCAAGCACTAATACTGGCTGACGGTTAATATTTTATTTTGTTTACGGGCATTGATCACGAAAGAGACACATAATAATTCGTCGTTTTTCGGACGAAGGAACGTAACTCCAATCCAAGGTTGCAAAATCGTCTGTAGGAAGTGGTGTGAGATGGTGAGTGGCAGTGGTCAGTCGCACTGGTCATAGAATCGTGTGTTGATTCTTGATTCTTGTCGATCAGCTAAAAATAATAAGATCCATCCAAACAGCAACTTTCTACGTTCAATATTGACCGAGATATCGCGCTTTGAAAAGTTCGTTTAATGACGTCATACAACGCGGTAGTGACACCCTTGGTTTTTTCCATCTTGCTTTCATTCAAGTTTCACGTCGAGTAACCAGTGAAAATGTGTGTCTTAGTGACAAACGAAAGCAAGATGGAAGAAACCAAGGGTGTCACTACCGTGGAGGATGGCGTCATTAAACGAACTTTTCAATGCGCAATATCTCGATCAATAATGAACGTAGAAAGTTGCTGTTTAAATATATCTTTATATTTTTAGCTAATCTACCAGAATCAAGGATCGAAACACAATTTTTTGATCAGTGCAACCCATTGACATCGAGTAGTTTTTCATTTAAATAATGATGTATACCCTTTACATACCCTGTTCTTTCGGAATCTCCAATAGGTTTCAAGGAATTTAGAGAAATGTTCAATGCAAAAAAATGTTGAAACCTGAAAATAAAATAAAATCCCAGTATAAAAAAGGTTACCTGCACCATAAGATTGACCTAGATCACCCACATCATAGGGGTTTTCCAAACCAAATCTTCTAATCCGTGCAAAATCGGCCTGTGAGGGGTTGCACGATGGAGTCGCAGATGACTGATATTGACCATGACCACCTGCATCAGAGGGGTTTTCCAAACCAAATCTTCTAATCCGTGCAAAATCGGCCTGCGAAGTTTTGTACGATGGAATCGTAGATGACTGATCCTGACCATGGCTACCTACATCAGAAGGGTTTTCCAGACCAAATCTTTTAATCCATGCAAAATCGGTCTGCGAGGAGTTGTGTGATGGAATCGCAGATGACTGCTCTTGACCTTCATCACTTGCACCAGGGAGGCTTGGAATACCTAGTCTTTTAAGCTGTGTAAAATCAAAGCTTGAGGTACCTCTTTGACCAAACGGAGGAATCGCAGATGATGAGGAACCTAAGGAAGACCCTCCAACGTATGGAGGTAAAACAAATTAGTAGACAGGTGTATATGATAATCTTTCAGCCCTCGATTCCTTAATAATCTTAAACGAGCAAAAAATATTCCGTAGGGCAAATTTTACGAGGAGAATTGATAACGTTTGTACACCAGCAATTCTTAGAGTAAGAAAAGACTGCGGAAAAATATTAGTATCCAGTGAATAACGTTTGGCCTGCGTTTTGCAGTAAGTGACGAGTACGTCTTGGCTCATCCATGGAAGCATCTATCTAAGTCGATTTCAAAACTTCTCGTTGTGTGAATTTTTTTCTGTGTTAAATTTTGAAGAGGAAACATGTGGCGTTTTCTTCTACTTCAGACCTTGTCTAGTGGCCTATTTAGAAAAATCCTTTTGGCCATTGGTAGGATATGGATTCAGAATTGGAAGAGATACATGTATAAACCTGCTCATGTTGATACCACGCGTGAGGAGTAGACACATCCAATAAATAAATAAATAGATAAATAAATAAATAGATAAATCAATAGATAGATAAAACAATAAATAGATAAATAGATAGATAAATAACTCAATAAATAAATAGATAAATAATTGGATAAATAGATAAACAAATAAATAAATGGATAAATGAATAGATAGATAGATAGATAGATAGATAGATAGATAGATAAATAAATAAATAAATAAAAAAATGATAGGATATAGTCCCCGCCCAGATGAGCTCACTCTTTATAGATAACTCACAAGGGGAGGGGTCCGAGAAGCGGACCTTAGAGGGCGCGAAGCGGATTCGGGGAGTCGGGCCGCGTAGCGGTCAGGGAGCGTACCCCCTGGTATTATAGTATAATGAGACAAGGAACCTAAAACATGAAAGCCTCGGAGCCTGAATAGCATACCTGGATTAAATTCGAAATTTCTAGAGGACCCTGCAGCGGGTGAGCGTAGATTATGACGACGTTTCTTCCTGACGTCATCAGTACCCTTTCCCGATCCCGATGTTTGCCCTGTCCCACCCCAACAACTCGTCACAGTGGGTCGCCTCTGCTGCGGAAGGTCCGGCGCGCAATTTTCCAGGGTGCTGAACGCATTCCAGCCCGGGACGAAGACCGAACACTCCCAAGTCTCAATACTCTGGATACTGCGGCACTCAGCCTGTTGCCAATCGCGGCAAACGTTGAATCCGCTGCGGTCTAAAGTGACGAAAGCGTTGTAACATGTCCAGTCGGCCTTATCCCTTACTCGTTGATGCGTATCCGCCGTGACGCTCCTGCAAATTCCGCCTTTTTCGATGGCAGCGAGGGCCGTGGCATACTGTTTTCCCGGTTGCATCTGCAAATCCAGCAAATGCGAGGAATTATACTGCCGTGCTAAGGAAGAACGCCGTATGACCATTCTAGAATTGCCAAGTTTCCTCGGATAAAACATATATTTTTGACGAAATTTATGAATATATTTAACTTAAAATTTTCAGTAATATTAGATTAAGTTGCGAAGGAAATAGTCTGAAACATTGGAGGAAAAATATTTACGATTTACCCAATAAATTTGTTCTTTATCAGATGACGGCAACGCCTGAAGGTTCATACGGCGTTTCTCCTTAGCATGGCAGTATTGCGCTATGCCAAAGAGAGCGGTTAGTCGTTAGTCGAAGAAGAAAATAATTCATCTTTTCAAATTGTCATTGATGAATATTTGGGTTTATTTCCATCTTTAAAATTTTCGATATAAAATATTCCTTATGTATACCTTTTTGTTTTTTTTATTTTATTTTATTTTTTTTAAATGAAAATACTACTTCATTTTAAAAACATCTAAATTTTTGAAACGTGGCAAAAATTTGTAAAATCTTTTTCAAGGGATGGCATCGATATTAATGTCAATGAACCGTAGTTGTGTTAAAAGAAACTATACAAAAATGAATAAAAGGGGGAAAACCCAGAAGCACGCAATCTTTAGTTTTAACCCATTTATACATCGATCTTTTAGAGTCAAATACGTCCAATTCTGAACGTTTGGTTGCGCGTGCACCACGCTGCAGCACAGTAAAAGCATACAAAATATACAAGAAAAAATTAAAGTTCTTTAGAAATCATTAAATTAGACACGGAACCACTCTAATATTTACAAAACACACGGTACATTTTCCTTCAATATTTATATTTTTTTTCATAAATTTAATTGAGACTAATCCATGCGGGTTGTGCAAATATTTCAAAATCATGAGTTGGAAAACACTGACTCAGCGAGTTTCAATATTAGAGCTTAACACAGAGCGGAGCAACGTGCTGCCAGCACAAAATGCGCACTGGCGCCTACAAACCTAAGGGGATACTGCACGCATTGCGCAATGCGTGAAGTATCTCTGTTAGGTTTGTAGGAGCCTGTGCGCGCGTCACACTGGTTGCCCGAAGCGCTTCGGAGTGCCACGGCGCTTCAAGCAACTATTTCGCAACAGAGGAGTTGCACAGTATCATACTAAATTGAAGGCGCTCTAACGCATCAAGTCTCACAGACATCCTTTAAGAGTAAGAGCTTTCCTCGCAAAATAAATCATGATACTACGGCACAAAAGAAGAGCGGTAGTTCAAATATTCACTCAGTCATGGCATCCGTATTTAATATCGTTTAGCATAATTTTGGATTTCATTAGAGGAAAAAGTGACTCGATTTAGGCACAAACATTCTTGAGTGTGTCGTCATAAAGATTTTATTTTGAATCAAGTATAAAATATCTGAATAAAAGCGGGTTTCTGCTTGTTGTAAGTGACTTTCCTTTTAATATAAGCATATTTTCTTCTTCAAACATGTAGTATTTTCTTTATTTATTCAAAAGGAAATCTTCTCGGCGGTTTTGAGCATATTTCTGCTTGAATTAAGTCACTTTTTTCTCTAATGAAGTTCAAAAATCATGCTGAACGTTACTGAATACAGTTACTAGGACTTAGTAAGATTTTCGACTACCGCTCTTTTTTTGTCGTAGTCACACGCTTTAATTTGCGAGGGAACTTAGTCATTTTGAAAGATGCTATCAATCATGATACGTTGAGGTGCCTTCGATCTCATATGATACTGGCCAACACCTCCGTGGCGAAATAGTAGCTTAAAGCGCCGCGACACGCCGGCGCCGTCGTGAAGTTATCACACAGGGAAAATCTAAGAGCCTTTAACTGAAGCAAATAAATAGGTTCCGGTACAACAAGATGAGATTTTCTTGAAAGATTATTAAGTCCTGTTGCACCAAAGAGGTGTAGAGAGTTTTGGTGAATTTTTCCTCATGGAATTGACGCTCCATATTTTTACCAAAAATCTCTTAAGTGATCATTAATATATAATAATCAGTATGTAAGATCAGTATGTAAGTTATCATCGTATTTTAGGTGGGTTGAGAAATAAAGTATCAATGAATGTTTTCGCACGTTACGGCTTGAAATACAGAAAATTTAAATTTATGTGGGAAAAATATATTGAAATTATTCCGTTCGTCCTCAAAAAACTTAAACGGCAATTTTTAATTTGTTTCTTTTTTCCGTTCAAATCATAGAAAAATTTCTGAAACGACCACAATCTTATTTTAAATTGCAATCCACTTTCCCATTCATATTCCTGCCCTCCAAGATTCAGAACGGGTCGATTTAAACAGTTTTCACTGTTTTCCTCGAATTCTCATTTCTGGCGTTTAAGTCTTTTCGACAGAACGATTCAATTCCGATTCCGACCGACTCATTAGGGTCTGTCATTAGGGTCATTAGAGTCTGTTCCCCCTTGGACATAAATTTTTTCGGGCCAGACTTTTCCACCAGTAGGAGCCCTAAGAGTTAAGTGAGAGTCAATCGTCATCATGGTTTTTAGGTTTTTTAAGTATAATGAAAAAAAAAATTGCGAACTTCACCAGAAAAATCGTCAAAATTTTGGAAAGGTTCGGTAAAATGATTGTTTCATACTAATTTTTGTCTTCAGTAGAGTTATGAAAAAAAGAAAATATGAAACTGACGCCGATGAAACATATTTCATGAAGCTGAATTGTACATCAAAGTTTTGAAGTCACTAAACCGTGCAAAATATCAAAAAATCAATTTTTTGAATCTTAATACCATTATAATTTTATCATTATTCAGGAATTTATTATTCAGAATTTATTATTCAGGTTTTTAGTGCTTCTTTCAGTATTATAAGACCTTCCTAAAAAAAACGAGAACGGAATAAACAGAGTTGAGTAGAAACATTTGCGGGAATTGACGAATAATCACAGCGAAAATGTTTAAATATCCCAGCAATTTTCACAAAAAACATATAAAACCCCAAATATTTTGAAATTGAGAGCAAGTTTCTTCTTTTCTACCTTGACACTCTTATAATCAGTAGTCTCCTCCTGGGTGGAAAAAAAGGTCCCGTCCCATTAGCAAATTTAACCCGAATGATGCCCAGTGTAATTATCGAATTTTTGTTGTAACGCCTTTTTTTTTCATTAAGTTAAACTTTCGACCTACCGTTTCTCCTGTGCGGTAGAAAAACGAAAAAGCAAGGAAAATTAAAAAGTAGCGGAGGATCTTCAGCTCGGAGAACAAGTCCATCCTGGTCCGGCGAGTATAACTGTCGTCTAACCACTGAGCTTTACAGGCTCAACTTTCTCCTTTTATGAACAAGGCTAGGAAAAACAATGAGTTCTGACACGGAGAGGGGTGACAACCTAGTATTTGCTTTGCACGGACCCAAAAGTGGTCGTCTTACGCACAGTCCCACCATGCATTCTGATCCAGTACGCAAGTGCACCAACTTGACAACTAGCATGGCATGGCAGTGGGCTGGTGGCCATTTTTCGGTGACTACCGTGCGACACTTACTAAAAGCTTTAACTTCAATTTTTCTTATTTCGGCTCAAAATGCCTCTTCTGTTCTCGAAAGAAAATTATAAAAAAAGAAAAGTATAGTTGGTTCTCTGACGAAATATGGCTTTTTCACTCTTAAATTCACAAAAAATATGCGCATCACGCTGTTTTTAGTGCTTAGTCAGATACAAAAAAAAACCAATTAAGTGTAAAAAAAACTAATGAGAAAGTGAACGCCAGAGGTCAAGACTTTATAGACGCTAGATTGGCTGTTTTTCTCAGTATTCGGTAAACTGCTATCGTTATTTCAAGGTCTTTATCGATGGTTTGAGTGCGAGAACATGTATCTCCGTTTTCGACGTTGTAAACTTCCATTCATATTTTGTTTTTCCCTTGGAAAACTAGTCAACGTAATTTCTTGAAAACTCCCTTGATTTTTCTTCTCTGTTAATAGATAATATCAAGTAATACTATTGTAAATTATAATAATTAAATATAATTATTATTGTAAATAATATTGTAATATTGTAAACTGTAATAATATTGTGTATAAAGTTCAAGCTATAAAGTTGACTTGTTCTTCTTCGAAAAAATAAACGAGGAGTGGAGATTTTGAAGCACCGTGATGGAGATAAGTGGTATCGTACTTTAGTCATCGGCACGCTGCGTGACGCAGTTCTACTTAACAAGTCTGTCGCCTACACTATAATTATTATTATTTTTTTTTTGTCTCCGAGGAATGGCACATCACGCAAGATACTCGATGTAAAAATTGTAACAAATAATTGGAGTTGCTTCAGTAGTTGCGGAGCATCATTGCCTTTCTAAGTTTTTTCAGTTTTTCTGACAATATAATACCTACTCGGGTGAGATCATGCAAATAAGCACCTGTCCACCTCCTAATTCGGCACAAATTTTGAATGTGTCACCTTAACGGATCCATGTAAAAAAAAAAAAAAAAAACAATATCTTCGGCACAGTAACTTCGAATGATATTTTCCGTTAAACACGATTTATCAGTTTCTACTCCAATCCTGAAAAATCAGTAAATTTGGGCCCATCCACATAAAAAGGGACCTTAGACCGATTGGTGCGTGGAAAGTCGAAATCCAGTTCTCGTCTTTTGAGTCTAGAAAACTGTTTCACAAGTGTTCGGAGACAAAAACTCCAAAAACTGTGGGGCCAAAAATCCATGCCGGCAGTTAAACCTGAAAAACTCATGTTTTATTCTAAACCCAAGGACAAACCATGCAAATGCAGTCATGTCAAGCGCTTATCTTCTTCACAGATAATGAGGTTGTAACTGGAAAGAGTGTGTCCAATTCCGAAAAAAGTAATTTGAACCTCAAATTGTCTTGTTTTGTGGTATGATGTTTTTGGATATGGTACAAGGGATCTATGAAGACATACATGTTTGCAATAAAATGAGAGCTGCAATTATTGAAGTTTTTTTCACATATGTGCGAAAAGTTTAAGTTCTAAAGGCGCCGTTCCTGGTACAGATAAATTTGAGCAATGACCGCTCTTGAATGCTGTCTTACTCGCACGTGACACTTAACGTGACAGTAAATGCGAGTTTTGGGAAAATATTTATAATAAAAAAGCGGTAGAAATGGCAACATCTGATTGGTAGTTGACCCATGTGCACCGACAGCAAGGTGTTTAAGGTGCTACTTCGGGTTCAAGCGCTAGACGTGACTACATTTGAATGGTTTGTCATTTGGTTTGAAATAATGCATGAGTTTTTCACGTAAAACTCTCGACTTTCACACAGTCTCACAGTTTTTGGAGTATTAGCCCCTGAGCGTTTGAAGAACAGTCTTCTAAACTCAAATGACAGGAACTGAATTTTGATTTTCCATCACTAAGATCCCTTTTCATAAGGATAGGTCACAAATTTATTGATTTTTCAGGATTTGAGTAGAAACTGATGGAGATAAATCGTGTTAACGGAAATCTCTCGGCTCAAAAAATTCACGAATTGAGCTCACAATAGATACGCTTGAATTCATCAAGTACGACAAAGTTCCAAAAAAGAGTGTGTGAACTTTTTGGGCCCTTCCCTCGGAAAACCTCCCAAGTTTGATATAATTTTAAGCAAATACGTTTTTAGTGGAACAGGAAAAAATCTACAACTTTGTTTCAATTAGTAAAAAAAATAATCTGTATTTGAACAGCAGATGAGCGAATTAATAACACTTAAACAATGAACAGTAAAAAAAGGGAAAAAAGAAATAGGTATTTACAATTCATGGCGATTGAATGTGAGTCCATAAATACTACATACAAAAATAGGCAAACAAACTAAGTTTTTTCTCATCTTCAGCGGTACAGATTTTTCTTCGTGTTCAATGACACGAGAGATAGGTAAGTACTTATGGCTAAAAGGCTTCATTTTCTTTTGATTTATGTCTCATGGTCAGCAGTTTTGTACACCAGAAGAAAAAAAAATCATATTGCATAGCTATTGGTTTCATAATAAGGGAAACTTTTTTATGGGAGATAAGTAATAATGCGATATGTGTTTCATTGTTGGTACAACCGTGATGTAAATGAATCCATTTATTCCACGACCTCTGTGAAAACAGCAAATATCTTCTTTTACAGGAAGTTCGCTTACCTCTGTCCAGGAGAGTTTACCTATTATAGAACTTAAAGTTACCTAAAGAACACAGGACGGTCCTTAATAGTTTTCAAGTTTTAATGCAGTTTTTAAAGGGGAGGGGAGGTATATGTTCAAATAACTGCGCTATTAATCATGACTTCTGAATTAGAAATAAAGTGTCTCTGAATTTTTCCAAAACAGGACATGCTATTAGTTAGAAATAAATTAATAAATAAGCTTCATGGATTTACAGAACAACTAGAACAACAATATATAAATTGAGGGACTTCAGAAGTTTTTAGAGTACTTAGTAGAATTTAATTTAGTACCAGTCAGTTTCAATTCTTTTGCAAGTTTCAAAAGACTAAAGACAGTTTTATTCTAACTTTTAGCACTGAAAACACACCCCGACGGGCGAATGTAGGGAGAGGGGGAGGGCAGATAATTAGATAAGTAGTCGGGTGCTTCAACGAAGAAAATCAGACACGCGCATAGCTGACTATCAGACCTTGAGGTGACTAGTTTTAATTCAATAGCTTCATTTTGATCTGAAACACACATTCGAATAAAAATTAAAATGAATGTAAAATAAGAAATAATTTACACAATTCGCATTTATATAGGCGAGTGCATCAGTTTCAAGCATGCAGAAAAATTGCACCGGTGAAGGATTTCAACTTCACTTTAAAAAAGTGGGCATTTGATAACATCGGGAGATTTTGTCAAGCTAGGATATGTTCTCATCCTAAGGCGGCTTAATAAATGCGACTGGTATCAAAAGAGTTCAAGGCAGAACATGAAAATATTCTTAGCTATTTTGCACTAAGAGACTGCACTGCATTGAATTTTACAGCAATGAATGGATTATGACGTGACGAATAAATCAATAAAATCTATTTGAACGCCCACATTTGGTTACAGTCATCCCTTCTTGCAGTGTGTTCTGAGTAATTATTGTGGATAATACGATGATACCACTATTCCGGCTCTTATGAGCTCGTGTTGCCTACTCGAAAATGGAGGGCGAAACAATTATGCACTCATCAACTTGTTTATTTTTTGGACTTTACTAACCCAAATTTTGATGAAAATTAAATAAATAAGTTGATTACGTAAAACAGGGAGTAAGCTTTTATTTAAGACTGAAAATATTGAATTCAAAAGCAAATTATAGATGGTATCGTAAATAAATTTAAGAACGGTTGGAACTACTTACGAAGGTATTATGCGACTTTTATTGCTTGATGATACAATCTTGATCCGGGAATCACATTTTTGACCATGTGAGGATCCTAGAACAAAAGGACTCCTTGTTAGATAAATGCACTATATGTATAATCATGAATAAACATACATCTGATTTGTGTGAACTTTAACGGTCGATACGGTTTCCTTTGTCCATAAGGTGGTAAACCAAGCCATTAAATGCAATAAAATTGCAGTGTCGTTTTCGCATCATTTGGTTCGCAAAACTATGACAAAATAAATAAAATCGGAGGGAATTTTATGCATAGGGTTTTTACTACTTAGTTCATTTTTATTTTATTTATTTTCACACAGTTCTTTTTCGCGCGAATACACCCAAATGAAAGGACCAATAGACGAGTCACGAATTTAAGTATTCCGATACATATTTCTTGACCCAAGTTTTCCGTAACATGTTACACTGGTTTCAGATGCACTAGACAAAACAGCCTTAAAAAGTAACTTCATCGGTGCCCGGCTACATTGTGCAACATGATTTTTCCTGACTGCCAATGAGTGCACTTACGGGCGAACTGAAAGTGTGACAACGGCAAAATTGAAAAATGTCATCGCAAATTTATTGCAGTCAGTGGCGTGTCGTGGCGTGCTTTGCGATATATCGATTAATCTGCCGTTTCAACTTATGGAAAATGATCGATAATCAGGGTGTTCGCAAAAAACACCTGAATAATCGATTCTTTACCATGGCTTCAAATGGGGAAAAAACGATCATTCACGCCACTGCCTTATGCTATTTGGAAAAAGGAATGAATGCAATTTACCTCTAACCGTTCGGTGAGACTCCTTGCGGCTCTCTAAATGACTGACGTTCGAATTTCTGAGATCTTCAGGCTTGCCTACGGTCTCGCTGGTTCTCTTCCGTCTGTGCGCTGAGGACGAGAGGTAGTCTACTTTCCGAAGTCCGTTCTCTCTTGTTGACGATCTTACGATTTTCTTCTCTTCCTCCGGGTGATCCACTCGATAAACCCTTTGGAAACAGAACAACAAGTTAGGAAAATTTCAAAACGCACTGATAGACAGGATATGGATCTAGGGACAATAAGAGGAAAAAATCACTAAACATTGTGTCTCGAATTCTGGAAGTAACATGACGGTAGAACAGATACAGTGATACAGCAGATACAGCGCTGAGTCTACACCCTCTGTTCTGAGGGAAAAACAAAGTAAGAAAGACCAGAAATTAGAATTAGAGCCACAATATAAACTCTGATGAGTCTCAGTAACAGGACAGATGAGGAGAGGGTTTAGTTTAGGTAGGTTCCCTGAGACTGCACTAAAACTAACTGGAGTTCATTATGCGACTCTAATTCTAATTTTTTTGGTTTCATTTCTTCAACAGTGAACGATTTCTCTTCACTTTTTGACTAAGGTGTGTGACTCTTTATCGAACTTCCAGTGCCCATTTTTGAATCGATCCCCTGAGGTGATATCAAAACTAAACGGTTCCAATCCTAGACTAAGAACTACCTAAAATTCAGTCAAATGTTTTAAAAAACGACTTTTCGAAAAGTACCAGACTAGGTCAAAGGTTAAAATATAAAATTTAAGAAACTCACTAGTCAGAGAATTTTAACAATCCGACGCGTTTCGACCAGTATGGCCATAATCAGGGACGCAACTGCCTGTCACGATAAAATTCTCTGACTAGTGAGTTTCTTAAATTGTATATTTTTACCTAGCATTCAGTATGTTTTCTTTTGAAAATTCGTATTAGCTGAATTTCATAGAAATAAAGTGTATAATATTCGATGGTAAAAATTTGCCTATTGAGTTATTGAAGTAACAAGGTGGAGAAATGGTGCTGGGTCCACACCATTTCGTGGGGAAAACAAAGCCAAGAGGTAAAATTAATAAATTTTAATTTTTGGACTTTCTTGGCTTTGTTTTCCCCACGAAATGGTGTGGACCCAGCACCGTTTCTCCACCTTGTTACATACAATTCGAGCCACTTCTTAGTGTATTTTTTCAGTTATTGAAGTAACTGGTGATCTCACCTTTCCCTTGGTTTATGGCTGCTGGAAACCGGATCCCTGGTGGGCTGCGACTTGACGACCCTCCTGACGACCCTCTTCATCTTGGCGTTGGCGGCGTTCTCGGCGGCGGACTCGATGTCCTCGGACGAGGAGGCGACGTGTCCGCGGTTGAGCGACACGCGGGCGAGTCGCCTCCGGTTCCTTTCGTCCACGGTGCGGGCGGCCCGGGAGGGTTCCGCGGGCTTGGTGGGCTCCGTCGAGGGCTTAGCGCGGGACTTGAGGCGGGCCTCGGAGCGCTCGGCCGTCCGGAGGCGCCGCGTCGGAGGGTTCTCCGCGATGGCCGCCAGCGGGGCCGGCGCCGGCGCGGGCTGTTTCGCGGGCTTGCGTTCGTCGTCGCTGCTGGCGCGGGACTCGTCGTCCGTGCACCCGTTCACCGCCAGCAGGATCTCGTCGGCCGCTTTCGTCAGTTCTTCCAAGATCGAATCGCCGGAGTCTAACCTGAAAAATAATTGTATGGGTTTAATTTGAGAATTTTGTGTACGGGACGCACTGTAGGTAATATAAGACGTGTTTACACGGCATCCCTGCTAAGAATGATGAGTAGGCTATTCAGAATTCGCCGACTCATATGAGTAGAATTTCCTACTTATATGAGCAGAAATCCTACTCGTATCACCAGAATATTCTATTCATAAGAGTAGAAAAGTTCAACTCATATGAATGCAATTTTTTTCATTTTTCAGAAGTGGTGTTTTTGACTAGGAGACACCTACATTATATGTAACTTAGAAAAATAAGAACATTTTGTTCTTGTAATTTTTTTGATGCGGTGACTAGTTTCTGAGATATCGGACACGGTAGATTCAACGATGAACCCATGTGAGTTGAGATCTCTAGTCATATGAGTGGGCGAAAAGTGAATAGAGAAATTCTGCTCATATGAGTTAAACTCTATTCAATTAAGTTGAAATTCTATTCATATGAGTTGCAATTCTATTCATTTGCTTACACCAACTGACCGACTGCGACTGCACTGCGTTTGGCGCAATGCGAGAAGTATTCACGCAGTCTTGTAGGCGCTAATATGGGCTGTGCGTCGACCGCACTGTTTGGCGCCATGCGTGAAGTATTCTCCTAGTCTTGCAGGCGCTAATATACGCTTAACTCCGGCCGCACTGTCTTTGCCGCGATCATTCGAACTCGCGGCATCGAATAATAGACCTTCAAAGGCCCATGTTGTGTTTCGACACCGTATGAGCATTCCAATGTTGCCTCGTTTCTCCCGATTAAATATTTTTTCCGAGAAAAGTTAGGAAGATTCTTTACATCCACGACCATTATTCAATCTTTTCACTTCATTTATCATCAGAGGGTAAGACATCGATGACTTGCCAACAAACTGACCTAAACTAGCGTTAACATAAACATGCGCTTCTTTCAAACTGTTTCCTGGTTTGCCAAACTTATACTTTAAATTAACTTCATTTTAAATTTGTGCAGTTCTATAGCAGATTTTAAGGTTTCTATTTGCGCAATCCTCGTATAATTTCTTAGATCTTTTGCGCAATCCTGTATTGCCGCATCGAAGCACGCTCCACCCTCACCATGGAACACGTTTGCTGGAGGGCTCGTCGGGCGGCGCGTCAAACCACACGTTAGATGGCCAGCGGACTGATTATTGAAATTGATAGACAAAGCGATAGACAAAGAGGACATTGGTTGCAACTGGTGGTTCTTACAGACTGAGAGAGAAAATGATGGACTAACTGTCTGGTTTCTTGTCGGTTGCTTTTAGTTATTCTATTACTTACCTCCTTTGTCCATTGCAACCATCCGCTTCCACCAATAGGATTTCACCATATCCCTTTTCTCTTCTTTGTCTATAACTTTGTCCATAAATTTCAATAATCGGCCCGCAGACGAGCATCCCGGCATACCGTGTGAACGCGCCTTCATCAAACAGCAAAGACTCCCGATAGAGTTTTGCCGTTTGTTTTTCAATTCAAACCGTCCATTCTTGATTGAAATTTTGTGGTACGATGGTGCTAATAATTCCCCTCTTTCATTCTCCTTTTTTTTAATCGACTCCCGAGCTCAGAAAAAGCTCTTGAAGTCGATGTTGTAATAGATGAGCACCTCTACCTATATCAGCTACTTCTCTTTGCCTCTACCTCCCTCCTCCTTCTATCTCCTCCCTTATTTCCCACCCTACCTACCCTTCGACCTCCCCTTCTACCCCCCTCTGTCGCTCCCTGTATCTCTCACCCTATCGCTATCTCTATCTCTGCTTCTACGTTGCTACTAGTTGGTCAATTTTTGAAACTTCTGGGTGTCCATTGCACCAAGCTCAGCCAAATTAATTTCTCTAAGCTGTGTCTTAGTCATTTAATCCTCCTACATCAAACTTTTAGGAACTTTAAACCTTGCTAGGTCACATTTCACAAAGGAACATACCTTGTCCTCGGCTCTTCTTTCTTCGGACGCCTATCCCGCCCTTCGGGCTGCCTCTGACTTCTGCGGTCCCCTTTGGGTGCGTTGAGCCAGCTGTCCCGGCCGCTGTCGAATATGCTCCGTCTCTGACTCGTCTCTACCCTCCTCTCCAATCGCTCCCGCCGGACCCGCGTGTCCACGGGCTTGAGCTCCGGCCGGATGACCTTCTCCTGGGACTTGGTCGCCCGCGGCACGAGCGGCGCGAAGCTGCTCTCGTGCGTCGGGGACAACGATCGGTGCCTCAGGGCCGAGACCTCCTCCATCTTCCTCGAGGGCCCCACTTTCCGCGGTGGGACTGCCGGTTGTCGGGTCGGCATCCTCGTCACCGGCACGCTCTTCAGCACTTTCTTCTTCGCTTCCTCCTGTTTCCGGATCTCGGTCGCCGACTTCCGCTCCACGATGACGGGAATCGGAATTGCGTCTATAATGAAAAATACACAAGATGCAGATAATTAGATTGGAGATACGGTTGAAACCCCGATAAAAAACTGCGTACAATGCAGATAATTTTTTGGCAAATATCAGAGGTATTTTTTGAGAGAAGCAATTGCGATTTCATTCGGCGTTTCAGGCTTAAGTTTTAGCTATGTTTCGTAACATCCGAGAACAAATCAATAGAACAGATGGCACGTTTGAATTCAGCGCCAACAATCCCATAAGGATCATTTAATCTTACCTATTAATCGTCTCATTCTAGGAGACGTTTCTCGTAATCCTGCATTACGTATTTTTGTGGAAACTCCTCTGAATTTCTGATTGAGTTTGAAGATTATTAAACTAAACTTGACAAAAATACCCCAAGGAAAATGTTCTCAGTTTAGACTCGCAACGTCATGGACAAAGTTCAACGACTACATTAATGTTCAAAATAGATTTTCTCGACTTTCCATTTTTAAAAGGAAATAATTTACGACTATAGTTGAATTCAATACTCCTTTAGACCCATGTTCCCCCCAAAATGCGGCTTGATGGGTTTCAGTTAAACACAATCCAAATGTTGCGTCCGTAGACTTTACTCCCTTTTCCCATGAATGTCCACAAATCGTGGCTCCTCTGACGTAAGGGCGTAACTCTATTACTGGATGAGCCCTAGCTGTACATCCGTCACCCTATGTATTTTTTCACGAGAAATCGATTTTTAATGTCAAAATTTCGAATTATCGAAGGTTTGTATCGATAAATCGAAAAATCTTGGAAAATACACACAAAAATCGCATTTTTGGACAAAATATCGCATTTTTGGACAAAATATCGCAAAATCGATATTTAAATTCGATATATCGCTTTTTTAACGACAAAAATCGATTCTCTGACTCAAATTACCTATAAAAATATATACGGTACGTATTGGTTGTGTCTTTTCAATCGTCCAGAAATTATCTTAGAAAAAAAACACGGTAAAATCGAAAATTTGAGATTCTCAAAATTCGAGCCCCATGTTTTCGATTAAAGCGTTGTCCTATCGAGCAAGGATTTTTTCCTCGTCCATTTGGTGCCAAATGGCACCTTTTTTTCACTAGGCGTCATCGGATTTCGAAAAAAATGTTTTTTCGCTCCACCCTATGAGCCCTATTATCCGTAAAACTCCCTGCTTTTCGAGGCTCACTTGAAAATTGAGATATGTTGATTCATCAAAAGAGCGACGGAATGAGTGTATTCCCCTTACCGTTGTCATTCGACTCTTTCAATCGAAGACCCGACAGATCTGGTATCCGGTCGTTCTCCGGGCTGAGCTTGGCGGGGTTCTTCATTTTGGGGGTCGGCACGGGGACGTGTTCGGGGGCCGGGGCCGGCGGCTTGCTCAAGCGGCTCGAGAAGTTGAGGGGCTTGAAGTTGGACTTGGTCGGGTCCTCGTCGTACTTGAGCGAGATGGAGGTGATCTTCGGGTGCCCGGACTTGGTGCTCACCAGGGCCTCCACCGCGTTGAGGTTCGGGTCCCGGTCGTACGAGTCCAGTTTGGCCACGGCCACGACGCGGTGGACAGGAGGTCCGTTCTTGTCGTCTGAAATCCCGAGGTCAATACATTTAGAGGGTCTGACGAGACCAGAGAAAAGGGATCCTTCATTGTTATCTCGGCAATGGTGGAAGCTTTTACTTTCGGGACTCCAACATTCAACTGTTGACCTACCTACTAGGAGGATGCTGAACGGTGAACACTGTGCTGGGTATCTCGTTTCGCAAACAGGCCGAAGTTTGACTCATTACCTCACCCGAAGCTCCACCTAGTAGTTATGATGACAGTTGCGTGTTACACCCTTATGATTGCCCATAGGGAAATGATTTGTTAAATCTCCGAAATGAAAAGTTCCCACCTGTCGCCAAGAGGCCAATGGAGGGTCGCTTGTCTCTGGACGAGAACGAAATGGCTTGTGATTGAAAAAAAAAATAGATTTTATGAATTCATGTGACAGGATTTGTGAAAAGGGACCTTATCTTCCCAAAATTCAAAATTGAGTTATTGATACGACTGCATAGAGGAAGAAATCTGGACATTTTGACGCAACCTGAAAACTTACACATTGTGGAAGACATGACGTATAGAAGTTTTAAGTCAAAATGTTTTAAATTATAGGTTAAATAAGGTTAGGAGCAAGGTACACCCTGCGTGGTGAGAAAATTCAACTAAAGCGCATTTATCTTTTGTTCCCAAGGTTTCCAGGAAGCGTTTCCCGTTGAGAACCGAAAATCGCCGATTTAGAAATTGTCCTGTGAATTTGGCTCTTCTGGACGATTTGCTCCCGGTAGATAAAGTCCATTTTCACAGATTCTGTCACACATAGTTTGGATAAGGTGATCCGTCAAATCACCTGATATACAGGGTATCCGAACTTAAACGGCCAAGAGCGTGTTTTACGGGCAAATTAAGACTTTTTTTGTCCAAAGTTACCCCTCTTCCAGATGTTCGCAAAAATTATCAGATTTTTTCTGAATTTTACACATGTTTATGTGCCAAAACTGCCTAGAAATTGAATTCTGATTGACTCAGCCATTTTAGGATGGATGATAGAGCCATCTGGAACCTGAAATCACGGTGACTTGAGAAAAAGTACTTTCATCAATAAAATGTGTGCCATTAGGGATAAATTTTTGATTTGCACAGCCATTTCGCTATCATATGGCTGCAATCTGCATACGCAAACAACAGGGAACGTTGCAAGCAGATGTAGGTATTTTACTACCTAGCCCCTTTATGCCCAAAAAATTGACAGCATCGTTTCCTATTTATTTAATGTTACAGATTTTGGAAAATAGAAAAACTTACAAATTAAAGAGAAAAAAATTATTTTTACGTCGCCAGTACGTATTTTTAAAGGTTTATAGATAAGCATACGGGTCTCTCAAGGATTAGCGCCTGGCATTCTCCAGTTTGGGTTAATTTTGAAGGTGCGTTATTATTTTAAATTGGTAGTGAGTGAACAGTTTATTATTCAAGAGGGTGAGACTAAAATCTACAAAGTCTAAGAGTGACCAGAGTGACTTTTGCAAGTATCATGGGGTGAGAGTGGTTTTAAAATCAAGACTTCTACATCCATATTACACCAGCTCCAAAAAGAAGAAAACTCATTGTGCATGGATTAAACAATATTGCAAGTAGATATTAGTCGATAAATATTTTCAATAGGCAAGTGAAATCATCCAAAATAGATTAGGGCCCTGTCAGTACTTCCGCAACAAAAAACTACATATATCCATCGATGATCTGAAACTACACTATTGGCCGATCAGAGGTCCTAGGACAGACTTAAGTGCGGTCTTGATGATCCCAAGTGTATTAAAATGCATACTTTTTCCATGACAAAATTCAGTCCCTGACGAGAGGAAAAAAGTAAAAACTAATTACACTACGGCAATTCGTATTGAAAAAATCGTACAGCCATTAATTTTGAATGAAAATATAGGTTGCAACTACTTTACAATTCCAAGAACAATAAAAACAGGGGCCAATTTTTGTGCCGGTTTATTGAAAATGATCCGCTGATGGAGAACAAAACCTTAAAAATTTACTTTTTTTCAATTTCGCTAAAAATATATTTCCCTCTCTATTTTTAATGCACTAGGCACATGTAAACATTCCAGTAAAATTACACGACAGACTTTCCGCGGCAATAATTTTGTTTTAATTTAAAGAAATTCCACTGTAAATACAAGATAGGTTTTGACTACTGTTGGTGATCGAAGTTTTTACAAAACGAATTGCCGATTTAAGACTGCAAATGTTAAGCTCTGCGTACATTTCCCTGAAAGACAAAGTTTCAGTGACTTTAAAAACATTTCGTTCCCTAATTTATTCAAATTGAATTGAACATTATTTAAAGTTGCCCTGAGGAAGTAGAGCACAGAATTGTCCAGTTAAAGAACCACCGAAAATGCAATGCCCTCAACATGCTTCACGGTACAATTTCCATTGCATCATGCCACGAGCTTCTCCCACTTGAATACCACCAATGCCTAAATCCGAGATTTTATTCTCTTAGGTTTGAAACCACATAACCGTCGCCCCATACATCCTGTCACCTTTTGTCAAGAGATTTCATGATTGATAGGTATGCTCTCAGCATAATCTGCCTGTCACTCTTGATTTAAATTTGATTTGAACCTTAATCGGATTGAGAATTAGAAATGCAATGCAGACTCTTTGACGTCTAGAATTTTCAAAAACAAAGTCTAATAATATTCAAAGAGTAAAAATAAAACTAGTCTGAAGTTTTCTAGAGGCTACATGACATCCAAAACCATTTGTCTCACACCACGGGGAAAAAAAAATATGCTGGGCCCAGGCCCGCCACATCCCATCTCGGGCCCTGGTACCAATTTTCTGGCCCGGGTCCCTAGCACGGGGGGGGGGGGGTCCGGGGGGCCTCCCCTGGGAAATTTTTGAAATTTTAAATCTATTTGGACGCATTATGAAACTCTTATGATGGAGATTTTCCATCAATTTCTGCAGAATAATTACGCCTTTTTGTTTACTTTCAGCACCAAAAACTTTCGAATTGTTGCATTCAAAACATCTATAAATTTTTTTTTGAGGGGGCAGATGATAATTTTCAATTCTATGGGGAGCCGGGCCCCCCTGGACTCCCCTTTCGTACGTCAATGGCAAGGAAGTTAAGCCATTGAAGTCGAGGATGCCCAGAAAGGAGCCTCTTAGCATCCGACAACGGAAGAAAATGAAACACAGTTACTAAAATATCATTCTACATATACTCAAAATCTTGAAAATCTCTAAGAAAGTAAGAAAAATTTTATAGTGCCCTAGCGTGTTTTTGAAACTTTATTCACCTTTTGCGGAATTTTTAGGGTAATTTTTTCACTTTTCCCTACGAGACAAGGGTTACACATGAATTCGTAGTGGTTTGTCACCTGCGTCACGGGCCCCTCCAGGGCCCGGGCCCCGGTACCAAGGACCCAGTATCCCCCCCCTTGTGGCGGGCCTGGGGGCCGGTACTTCGCGGTGGGTAGAATCGTCAACCACTTTGACTAGCGCCTTGATGCAATTATTCGTGTTCCAGAGCTGCCTATGTTGCCTACGCAAAAATTGAAGGCGTTTTGCCTTCTCTTGCGTTATCGAATACGCACTACCGTCTGTATCTAGATTTCTCGTTTAAGGCGCTGTAGGAAACAAGGAGTCAATCAAATTCATCAAAGCGATTAACATAGTGATATTAAGTGTAGGTAGCACAGAATCTATGACAATTCACCACCGCGGTGTGCGTGTCAGCACAACGGATTTTGGGTCAAGTAATTTTAAGTTCTGCAAGTAATGTACCCTCCACGATATGTTAGACTAGTTTCATTTTTCACGGAGTGCCGAAAAGGCGTGGAAACCGTAGCTTTTGGAAGCTTTGTTTTGAGAATTTTGCCCAATTTAAGTCTTTACAGAGACTTAAACCGGAATTTGAAGACGCGCTTTGAGGCATCTAAAATTTTAGCTACAAGTCTCTGAGCTTATAGAAGGCGAGAGAAAAAAATCAACGGAGTTTTATGGAGGTTTACTCTGATTAAAATTGTTTAACTTTAAGGCTTGTTTTCCTTGCAAAATAGCGTGAACCCAGCACTATTTTACCACTTTGTTACTTATGGAAGACTGAAATGGCATGGCATTATCGGTTTCGGTTCGAAAAAGTCGGTTAAACGCAATCTTACCACCGTTCTGGGTTGTTAGTAGTTTGTTAGCAAGGTTGAGCTTCTGGTTGTATTTGAAAGCCTTGACGCGGCTCCAGCTGCCGGAGATCTCGCTGCTCAACAGGTCCTCGTCCAGCGGCTGACTCATGTACGACCTGACCTCCTCATCCGCCTTCAGACTGTCGTCACTGAGCTCCCCGGAGTCGAGGTCTAGGATCTCCTTCAACAACGACAACTGACTAGGAAGCGACCTCCGCGAACTATCGCACTTGGGACTCTTGAACAGGCTCGTCCCTTCCTCGGAAGCCTTGAACACATTCTTAATCCTAAAAATACTCGAGTCTTGCTTCCGATGCCTCGTGATCTCCACGATATCATCGTCGATGGTCTTTTTGAGATCGTCCAGTACGCTTAAAACGCTAGGAATGCCGCTCGATTCCTCCAGCGGGGTCGCCTCTCTGGAGGTGCTCGATTCTATACAGGGTTCTCTGGAGGTTTCTGGTAGGTTTTGCATCGTTGGAGAGCGCATGGTCTCCATGACTAAGGAAGCGGATTTGCATTCTGGCAGTGTATCACAGATTTTTTGGTAGTTGTTTGCTTTCGTCTCGGGGATGCGGTTGAAGCTGTACGAGAATTTTGGCAGGTTTGAGCTGGTGGAGACCTCGCTAGAGCCTTCTCCGATTCTAACGATGAGTTTTTCTTGGCATTTCGGGTTATTTAACCGGTTATCTGCAATGACACCAGATATGTTAGAATTTGTGCAGAGGGAATGACTACAGGGAAATTAGTTGAAGGAATGGAGATTAATGTTTAAAAAGACGAGAAATAGATATTCTGGTGGATATTTCCGGCGTATTTCATCAATGTGAGTTTTGTTCGCAAAAATGAATATGTGCACATCGATCGTGGTTTCAAAGGTAATGCTTGACGCACAGCGCCTACATTTTATTGGATATGCAAGATGGCCTTCGAGTATTAAAAATTGCATTTAAAATAAACTTTGTGTTGCATTACATACATTTTTACGCAAAACTCAGTGTGATATTTTCTCCTTCTTCAAAGAAAACAGTGTTTTTTTGTGTTTTTTTTTAAGACAGGCTATCATTATTTTGAACTCCTTTGTTTCAAAATATTCATGATCCTTTGAGGGACATGTTAATGTATCGCAAGACAAACCCTAAATTATCGCTGATAAATACAATAATTAACTTTTAGTCGATGCTTAAATACTTATAAACGGATGTTTTACTTTTTCGATCAATTTTTGGTAGGGTAAAATTAACTATCACAGGAGCGTAAATAAAGAAAATAATTCAAGTTTTGCAGCTTCGATGTCCGAGAAATATTCCACCAATGATGAAAGTAGAGCAACGTTCGTAAAATTAAGGTCCGTAAAAGTGAGAATTCAGTAAGAAAATTATTAAGTCAGGCTGAGGGATAAGTCAAAATAATTGTTTCTCGTGATTTTTTGTGTCAAATGTTTTTGAGAATTCCATGGATCAACGAATAAAACCCTCCTCTGTGTAAAGACACAAGGATTATTATTCAATTTTTTTTCAAACAGAGATTTTAATTCCTCAACGAAATTGGATAGAAAGAAATGACTTACAGATTGGTTGGTGAAGACTACAGAAAGCTGAAGACTTCATAAAAGGTAAAAGATCAATACGATCCTTACATAAGTGTCTGATTGAGAACATGCGAAGCACAACTGCCCTTTCATTTGATGCAAAGAAGTATCATGCAGGAATGTTTAGCAACAAACTTGTTTTAAATTATCCTTTTTCCTGTCCACTCGTAGAACTTGCGTCCTCTTGCTTGGCGTTTGGGTGTATCAGCGAGGGTCCTTCGTAAAAAAGCTTGATCGATTTGATCGATTGCCAGAACAAGTTTCTTGGACTATCCGGGATGGATGAATGATTAATTTGAGCAGTCTTTAGCTATCAAACTATTGAGTTGAAGACGTTTGTCACCAAGCCTGGCACGCGAAGTTGGGTGTCAACGAAAGCGTTTGAGAGCGGTCAATATGTGACAAGGCACGAATTTGAAAAAAAAGGGAGATGTAGAATACATTAACGCTACATCAATTTTGCATGCAAAACAGTACATGCGATGAACCACAAGACAAAATAAAAAATGAAGCACTGCGTGGCCTCTTTCCTCAGCACAATTTCATGTAGTACACAGCGAGAAGAAAATCATTTATTTATAAAAAGATACGTTTCAGGCTTCAGAGCTTCATAAAAGTTTTTTTTTTTTTTTTTTACAAACTTGGAGTTTTACGTAACACTCGCAGTCATGCTAGTAAACATTTTTCACTCGTACAATTGGGGTCAAATCTATTCAATAAACTCAGATCAATTACGCAATTCGAATAAAATCTCATTTTACCACTGAATTTACAAAGTGGTGGAAGTCAGTCCTGACAGCGTCGTATTAAGATTCATGTGATTTTACATGCGTCGATTTCATTGCTCGATAAAATGAAACTGGTGATAGATATGAGTATTTAAAAATAAGTTTTATTCAGCATATCAATCATGAAACGATAAAAGACTCTATATCTCTCGTTGCAACGTTAGCTTATGATAATTTTTATTCTTAAGAAGTAAACGAAGACTCAACAGTTTTTGAAACATTTCCATACTTTTTCCGCACTGCGTAAAACGATATTCCAGAAACATTTCCAGCAGCAATGCTATTTCATCTCTCTCTTAAAAAAAAAAATAAATAAATAAATAACAATGAAAAAAAACTACGGCCTATACATTTTTGATGAGGTACTTGAGTTTTTGGTCTCGTCGTCGTTGCGCTTTTTGCAAAATATTCTAACTTCACTCAGTATTATTTCACTCCAAGGCTGTCCAAAGGAGGAAATTAGAGGAATCAGGTCTAGGATGTACCCTTAATCGCTCGATTTCATTCAACAATCGTGATTTTAGATCAGTCCTAAGAGTAGTTGCACACAGATTACACAGAATCAAAACCTGCTAGTAAGTATAAAAAAGCGTCGGTACAAAAACCGGACTTCACGTCAATGCAACATCGTATTTGGTCAAGGTAATCAAAAAGTTTGGTATTCCTAACACCCCGCAGTAAGTTCCTCTCTATATTCTCACTGGTTACAGAAACAATCATTAAGCAAACCTGAGGTCCTCTCGGAGAGACTCTGCATGTAGAAGGGATCATTCTCACAATTATGTTTCTGAAAATCTGTCCGTCGAGGAATGGAAAGAATGGAGGGAGAGAAACGCATAAATAGGACAAGGAGTGTGCAGTGAGGTGTGCAAAAATTAAAAGCTGGGAAAGTTGCCATTTGAATAAAATATTTACCTTTGCGTCGTCCTTGCTGAACTGCAGAAAATAATTTAAAGCTGTCCTAAAAGAGTTTTTTTTGAGAGAGTATTTGCGAGAATGCATACTCGGGTCTTGCTCCGAAGTTTGGACTGTAAATTTACAAGTTCCAGCGGGCTGACTATTGAAATTGTTAGACAAAGCGATAGAAAAAGAAGGCAAAGGAGAAAAATGATAAGTCTAACGCACAGTGTATTTCCCAGTGGGTAGCCGTTAGTTACTCTATTTCTCACCTTTTTTGTCCATTGCCTCCATCGACAGGATCACTCCATTTTTGCCTTGTCCTCTTTATCTATAATTTTGTCCATAGCTTCATCCATAAATGGATTGCATTTTGCAAAAAGGAACCACTAGCATTGCAATGTTGCTAAGATTGTGCAACTTCTTTTGTCTTGGAGGAAAAACCCGATTATCCATTAATAGTTTCTATTTTACTCGCTAAAAACTGTGAATTTAAGACAAAAATTACCATCTAAATTTCATAATTTTTCACGATTTCCGCAATTTTATTGCAAAGGATGAAGTTGCACAATCAGCAATCAGCAGCAGTAGCATCATTGCAATGCTAGTGGTTCCTTTTTGCAAAATGCAATCCAAATGTCAATAATCATCCTGCAACATGGAAAAGAAGCTGAACATGCATTGCAAACTACCATGCACATGCAAAATGCAAACATGTGTGGAAAATGGACTCACCACAGTAAGACTGACTTTGGAACCACGTGGGCCCACTGACGGGGATCTTCTGGGCGGACGTGGAGGCGGAGGCGGGGGCGGGGGCAGGGACGACGGTAGCCTCGCCGGCGCCGAAGTTGACTTTGGTCGAGAAGCCCCGGAGCCGGGAGTCCTCGGCGATCTGCCTCTCGGGGACGGACCAGGAGGCTCGTCGCTTGTCGACCGGCTTCATCGACGAGATCCGAACCTCCAGCCCGTTGTCGGCGGCCGTCGACGTGGACCGGCAGACCTCCGGGATGTCGATGCTGTTCCTCGTGGCCGGCTTCAGGGACCGCAGGAGCCGCTGGAACTCGTTCTCCTCCGGGTCGCTCTTGATGTTCACCGACGAGCACCAAACGCTCTTCGCGTCGTGGTTCTTCAGGATGCTCCTGGGGAGTGAATTAGTGGGGGTTAATCATGGACAAAGCATATTCGATACCAGTGTTCGAAACTCACCTTTGATTTTTAGGAGCCATGTGGCACATCAAGCTTGATTTTTAGGCGCCATTCAAGATTTTTTAGGGGCCAAATCGACTTTTTGCCTATATATTACGGCGCATTTAGTGAAAAGTTGGACGCACGATGATTTTCGTAACAGAACTAGTAAGTAGCTGTAACTTGGAGAAGACAAAAGCACTAGGGATGAAACCGTGAAGAATGGACAAAGCAAGCTTTCACTTGTAGTGCTGAAAATTCTGAGTTTTTTTCAATTCAAATATATTTGTTTTTCTATCTTTATGTGACTTCTTGTGAAAATCCAGATTTTTAGGGGGCATTTTTCAGGCGCCATGGCCGATTATTTAGGCGCTGTGAGTTTCGAACACTGTTTGATACAGTCAGTTCCGCTTAAGTGGACCGTATTTAGCAGAAAGGAACTAAACCACATAGGCTATTGCCAAATTTAAGTGGGCGATTTAATATTTTAGAAGAAAACGTTTGTGTAGACTCCTTTAAAAATATAAGGGAAAAATTTCTGCGTACTATGCAGACAATTCACCGAAAATTTGCACAAAAATTAGCACAACCGATTTCATGTAAAAAATTGAAGTGCTCAATTTTTGGTAAAAGCTGCATGTGGCTTGTTTTCTTTCTGCTTAACGCGGTCCACTTGGGACACTGGCTAATTGGGACAAATGCTTTATAGGGACAAAATTGTTAAGATCTTTTACATACTAGCAATGTAAAAAAAACGCTGCTTTTTTAACAAATCAGAGTTCATAAATCGAGATTGATATATGTGTACTTCGAATAGATAACTATTCCAGCTCCCCGGTACGATTTTTGCCTATATGACGGAATTGAAGGCAAATTTTACGGGGACAAAATCTGTCGCTAAATTTACGCATGATTTGTTCAATCATTGTTCATAGAGAGAAGGAGGAGAAGAAGAAGGAGAAAAAGAAGAGTAAGAGGAGGATGAGGATGAGGAGAAGAAGGCGATGAAAAGTAATGAGAGGGAAGAGAGGAAAAACAGTAATATTCTGGGAAAAAAGCAAGAAGAAATACGAACTGATCAGGATTTAAAAGAATAAATTATAATGAAAAAAAATTTACTAATATGAAAGAAAATGAGAACAAGTAAGCACAATATATTTACCTCAGCTTAGGATTTTCCGCATCGTCGGTGCTCTCCGGGCCGTACTTCTGCGTGAAACTATCGATAATCTTATTATGGGCCTCATTGAGGCTCGGACTCAACTTCCTTATCTCCTCGACGGAGATCGGCTTATATCCAATAGCCTCCGGCTCCGCCGTAAGGAGCTCCTTCTCGTACTGCGAATCACCAAATCGGATCTCCGCGACACTCGTCTTCCGGTCGGTGTGGTCCCTCGAGTGCCGCCTCCTCCGTCGGTAGATGTTGGTCGGCGGCGGCTTCCCGTCCGTCTCCACGATGTTCAGCTTCCCGGGCTCCGCCGCGAAGTGGATCTCCGTCTTGCTGAACTCCACCTTCCGCTGCTTCTTGTCCACCTCCGACGTCGGCGACTTCACCCGGGCGGCGTCCTCGTCCGAGAAGATCTGTACGCTCGTCGGGCGGACGCCCTCGAAGTCACCCGACGCCTTCGCCGAACAGTCCGACAGCAGATCTTCCGTCGAGTTGGTCGATAATTTATCGGAAATCGAGTTGAGGGAAAAACTATTGAAATCCGAATCCGATTCCCTACAACTATCTCTTCCTTCGTCTACAGCAGGACTAGACTCCACTGAAACCGCCGTCCCGTTCGAGAACTGCCTATGTAAGAGGGTCTTCGTCTTCGGCGTGTCTTCGACAGAGTTAACTTGAACTATCGGTATGGAAATTGTAACCGGTTCTGACTTCCTCTTCTGATCGAACACGCTGAAAGTCGACGTCTCGCGTAAACTTCGCAGGGCTTCCTGTATCTTCCCTCCGGGGAAGGACCTCCTGTGGCACTCGAAAGGCTGATTGCCGTCACCTAGTGTCACCGTCGTCTTCCTCCCGAACTGGTTCGAGAACTTGGCCTCCTGGGTGTCGAGAATAGACTTGGGCATAACCTCGTCGTACTTGGAGATGCCTAGCTTGGATGGCGCTGCCACTATCTCGGAAGACCTGCAGATTCCGCTATCCGTCGACGACTCCACCTTGGAGTCCTCTTTGAGACGGGAGTTCTCGCCGTTCTGGTTGTGCATCTGCTCGAAGCCGTAGGACTTCCGGCGGTTGTACCATTCCTCCGAGCGGCTGCCCGACGAGGTGCTGGATTTACTGGAGCTGCGGCTCTCCAGACTCCCGGTCCCGTTGATTTTCGGTTTCTGCAACTGGATCTCCATGCCGAAGACGAATGACTTGACTTTCCCGGGAGCGGGCGCTGGCGGGGTCTCCGGCTTCGTTTCGGTGACTATGCCGTCGTCCGGTTCCGTCACTATCGGGGCAACCGGTTCCGGGTTCAATGGTTTTAATTTCCCGCGCACCTCGTTTAACGACTCCACCGTGATGAAGGAATCTTTCTTCTTGGCCGGTGTTAACTTCCTACTCTCGGTGTTCTCTTTACTGCTATCCTCAGCGTCGCTGAGCAGCTTGATTGAATCGTTGTCTATATCTCGTTTGATCTTCAATACTACACCCTCCAGCTCGTTCAAATCCGACCATGTCTTCGTGTGGACTTGTTTGAAATTTGGCTTTGGGCTTTCTTCCGCCTTTTGCGAGAAGAACTGTAACGACCGTCGCACCTTTGAGCCACGGCGCCAGTTGGACTCACCGTCTTCGGACGTTTTGTTGTCCAGGTTCAGACTCTTCATGTCCTCGATGGAATTGCTCTTTTGGCGGGTGAGGCTCCCGTGGGTTGAGGCATCGTCGGGGACGTCCGAGTCGCCGTTGGTGATTTCGGTGATCTTGATGGAGCCTATGGAGCTGGACTTCTGCGAGGAGGCGTCGTCGCAGTCGGTGCTCTCGTGGAAGCCGTTCTCGAACATCCGCTTCCCGAAGCTCGGGGTGTGAAAGTTGGGGAACTTGCCGAAAGAGTGCGTCTCGGTCTGTCGGTGGAGCTTCTCGCAGATGCTCGAGAGCTCGGAGAGGCGACTAGATGGTTCTTCGATGTTGCGGGAGTTGAGGATGGTGCTGCGAGGCCGCGTGGGCGGTCGCCTCCCGCCGATGGATCCGCTTCGTCCGATGTTTACTTTCATTTTCTGGGGCGTCAAATCCAGGGGACTTGAGCTCAGCTGCGAACAGACAGGAACTCAATGTTAGACAAATTTGAGGTGCTGACTCGAATCGGGGACAACATATCTATGGCCAAAGTGCAAAACCACGTATCTCCATTGTGATGTTTTAAAATTTCCGCTCCTATTTTTTTACTCGAAGAGAAACAAGCTGACTTTATAGCTTGCAATTCAAACATAATATTCTACTGATAGAAAAGAAAAACTAAGGAAGTTTTAAAAAAATTACGTTGACTGGTTTTTAAAAGGATTAATTAAGTAAGACAAGAAGTCTGCAACGTTACAAACGGAGATACGTGGTTTCGCATTTTGCCCATGGATATTTTAAAGACCCCACTTGCACATGACTCTCATGCACTAACAATCAAAGCTATGTAGTTAGGTGTGATAAAAGTTGCAAAAAAGCCAGTGTTACTGTTCGTCCAATGATGATTGATGAATAAATCCAGGATTTATATGATTTTAGACTATGCAACTATCCCCTTCTTAGTATACACATACGTATCTGCATCTTATCCTACAGTATAGAATCATAAAAGTAATGCATAACGTCTAAAGCGCGTAGCGCTTCGGGGGATTGGGTCGGGAGGCGGTCAGGGGGCGTAGCCCCAAGTTCTTATAATTTGATCGGATATTTAAATAACTAGACATAAAACATCTAAGAATACTGATTGTTTGGTTTTTTTATTCCTGACATGACGCTATTGTGTATGAAAAACATAAATGATATAATAATAATAATAGACGGAAATGCCAAAAAGATAAAATAGAACGTATAGAAAACCACGATTCATGTTTATAAGGACTGACTTGCTGAGATTTTTGCTACCTCTCAATTGAGTACATTTGGTAAGAATAAAATCATGCACCGATGCAGTCAAATACACTATCTACCAGAAAACCAGTCTTTTGGGTGGTCTTATTTTCAGATAATAAGATAATAAGATTTAACAGTCACTTAATCGTATTTATGGTAAAAGGAGCTATGTGCATAGGGTCTGCGTGCAACATAGTTCATTTCAACATAAGTAAACGTCCAATTACGATTAAAAGACTGGCGTAACTGTTCACTTACATTAAAAGTGACAACGCTTTCTAATCTTGAGATTAAATATTTCAATCGGCATTTCTATGCACTGAGGTAACATAGGTTTGCTCTTTTAGTATGAGGTAAGCTTAGAAGAAAAATTGCCCATATCGAGTTGAGTTGAGTGTGACTCATTGGTGGTCAGAATGTGTGCATAATATTGCAATTAATTAAGAAAGGAAATGCTAATCGATGCTCATACCTGAAGATCTTCGAACGGTTGCTCTACGACTGGTTGATCCATCGGTTTAAATGGTTGACTGGATCCTTTTATGGGTGGCCACCCAGACATGGGCCCGCCACTCACCTGCTGTAAATCAAATTTCAAAACGATTATCTAAGGAACTTGCTACATCATTACACACACCTGACAGGGAGGTCATTGTAGTGCTCTGAAATTTTACACAATGTTTCTTCAAAAATTCCTTCCTTTCCTAGGTGTATTGTTTGAAAATCAGATAAATTTCAACAATAGAAAGTTTTCATCCTCCGATCTATTGACAAATTGAGACAAGACTTCATTTCGAAGCTTCGTGCTTTAAAATTGCATTTGAAGTACAGAAGTCATGTTAAGAAATGCTTTTATACTTTTTGGGTAGAATAAAAAAAGTTACACATGAATTGTATGGCTTTCCATAGGCGGGGCACGACTTCATCCTTCATTCTTGAAAAAAAAGCTTTTTTTTTAGAACGGTTGTCCTGAGCTTCAATATATTACTAAAAATGATTTACAGTTTGTAAGGACGCACATATTGCTCGCTTACTCAGGAGGTAATGAAGTAACTTATGTGTACGCAGAATGACGGTAACTTCTCTGAATGCGTTAACTGAAGGCGCAACGTGCAACTATTTCGACTCCTAGGAATGCAAATTGCCTATCCGAACAATTGAAGGCAATTTGCGGGCACATTTCATTCCAACATCCAACCGGATCAACATTGTATGCGACCATTGAGCCGGTGGACATGCTGTGTTGTAAGTGCTGGAGTTCCTTAGGTACAAGTGATCTACTACAGATTTCTTTTTGTCTTTTTTTGCGGATGATAGGTACACTCTGAGAAAAAACTGGTGATAGACTTCTCAGGAGTCGAATATACGTTTTTAGTTTACATTTATTGGAAGTGAATGGATAAATGTTTTTGATAATGGAGTCCTAAGTTATTTTTCTGACTTCCAAAGGTATGCAACGTTTTCTACATTAGATTCCGTATTCTAACTCATGAATTCATACTTTTCAGTCTTTCTTGCTGCATAAGTACGCATATTTTCATTCCTCAGTTTTTCATCTCTTGCTGCCATTTTAATGTACATCTTTAAAGTAAACGAATGCCACGGTTGTTTTAAGTAGCTCCGTGTGAGAACAAAATAGTTTCAATTTGTGAATGATTCCACACAAAAGATGATGACTGTGTCTTACATTAAGACTGTAAAAAGTATGCATTAGGATAGTGAATTGGTTTATGCGTAAATGTGTTCGTTGAAGGCGCAACGTGCAAATATTTCGACTTCAGGGAGCGCATATTGCCTACCTGATCAATTGAAGGCAATTTGCGAACACGTTTCATTCCAATCGGATCTAACATTCTTGACCATTGAGCCGGTGGACTTGCTGAGCTGTAACTACTGGAGTTATTTTAAGTATAGACGTATTTGAATCAAAAGGAACTATATCTCTATTGTGACCCAGACCTTGAGACCTAAAATAATCACATGCATAAAAGGACCCATGTCACAATGAAAATAGTTCATTTTGATTGAAATCTGGCCATCGGTTAATGTCCGATAGAAATAAATGACTTTAAGGCCGGAATCTCAAAATTGATCTTATAGACAGATTTAAAGGTTTTATCTACCATGATGACATTTTTGAACTGTAAAGCATCTTTTTATTCTCCATGGGTAAAAAATTGCACTAAAAGGGTTGAAAATTTTTCTCGGTTTACTTGGGAATACGCATTTCTCAGAAAAGGTTTTCTATCGACATTTCTGATTCAAATATTTCGATCCAACATTAGAAAAGATATGACCACTTCACTGCAAATTTTTTTCTGTGCACCGTAGTTCATTTCTCATTGATGATTACTTTCGAAGTTTACAAAATTGACCTTACCTTGGTATTTGACCAGGAACTGGTCTGTGAACGAATGACTTGAACGGAGCCCCCAGGTATATGGGCTTGAAACACCTCGAGTTGCTTCGTTGACTGGACTTGCTGGACGCTCCCATCTCTTCGATTGCGGGCCCGCCTGTCCACCACCTGAAACAGTCATATGGAGATGAAGTGCTGCAGAGGCGAGAAAACAGCTTCTGGCGGATTTAAAACGCTTACGTTGGGACGCATACCTAAGCAGAATTCTAAATACGTGGACTTTGAGCTTTTACTTCGAAACGAGTTTTGCCACGTCCGTCCAAACGGTCAACCTGCACGTAAGAAGGCTCAACGTCTCTTTAATCCAAAGGATCCGGATGATTCATCGGACAGAACTCACAGAAATTCGAGAAAAAATGTCATTTAAAGAAAAAGGAAAAAATTGGGATGGGATTTCAAATATTTAACCAAGTTGCACAGTTCAAAACCAAGTGTACTGCAAATTGAATTTTGCAATGAGAATCAACGTTTTTGGCTTATTTTAGAAGCAATGCATCTGCCATTCATTTTCCTGTGCAGATGATTTATCTAATTGATGAACCAACACTCAGTGTTCCGTAGCCAAGTAGCCTTGTAAATGGTAATACCTCGGTGTAGTCAAATTTTCTAAGACAATGAAAGTTGACTGGATCAACTGTTTAAATTCATCGATTTTCCCCCGTTTCCCGACGATTAAAGTATCACCTATACATGTAGCGATGAGATCGGTCGCGAGACGGTCAAATGGTACGGGAGATGGTATCGGTCGGGAGACGGTATTTTAAAGAAAATAGCTCGGTACCTTTGTATATGTTTGAATAAATCAAGGATTTTATTTTAAAAACATACTAAAGTTTTAAGACTTCTAATCTGAGTGAACCCGATGAAATGACTTATTTGAGAAGTGAAAAGCGAGTTTTTCCCCCTTTTGCACTGATAAAAGTAATAATAAATGGTCCCAGTATTGAAGAGAGCTGAGTCATTCAACTCGTAGATCAAGTCAAATGACCCTTCACCTTAGAGATGATTAAAATAAATTAGGGGTAATTTGAGAGCCAATTAAAGTCATGCATAGCATATTAGAGCCAGATAGATTGGAATGTAGTCAAATTGTCACTTTCTGGACGTAAGAGCGTATCTTTAATTTTAAGTAAGTCCTGGAGAGCACGTAATCATATATGGATAATCTGAGGCTCATCCTAAAACAATGGTACACTCTTACGTCAGAAAGGCGACGGAATTTGACTCAGAAGTAGGGTCAAAGTTGACTTATCTTCAACATGAGGACAGAATGTACAATTTTTTTAGGCAGTGAACTAAGAAAAACAAAAAATTACATCCCCTACAGATTAATTTGATCATTTAAGTTTTGGGACAGGAGTATTCCATTCGAAGATGCATCTTTTGCAACAGCGAGTTTCTACAATAGGAAATTCAGTCAGCCGATGATGGAAACCTGTTGTGACGTCGCGTCGTTGCGGGAAAGGATGGGGGGTGGAGGGGGAGACAAAGGGGAGAAGGGGGAGTAGGGGGTCAAATTACGAGGAAAACGCGGAAAAGGAAGACCGGATTCTCCCGGGTTTCCAGACCGGGAGCAAATCTATCTATTACCCATGCCGCTTCTACGTGGAAGATAAGTGCTTTTGTGGCACTGAGTGGCAACCGAAAAGCGAGCTGGCTTCCTCAGGAGAAAGACAATGGGCATTCCTACATCAATGCCACATTTGTGGCTTTATCGTTGGATTCTCCTGATGAATAATTGGCTTTATTAATGCTGAGAGGACCTATGTAGATAATATAAGCATGAATCAAAGTTCCTTTTGATTTGATTCAATTGCACAATGTGCTTTCCAGCTTGCGTGTGTCTACATGTCTGTTGATATGGAGTATGGCAAAATTATGTGGAGTAAATCAAGGGGTAGAGGCTTAACGTACATGACAAATGTCATAAAGATGCTTATTGGTATGAAGTGTTTCAGAAATTAAGTTAATATTACTGTTGTATCTCTAATAACAGATTAAAAGTGACCAGTTGCAGTTAAATTGAGCGTAATTGCTGAGAAATCATGATATTGGGAGGGTGATTTATCTCATTTCGGGAATAGTTTTTTAATCAATAAAATGTGTGCTTATTCTGAAGTACTAGAGTCTGGTATAGTAGTTGTTCATTCGATCAATTTAATTTTTGTAAAAAATCTATAATAACTGCATCTCTATTAACTTTACTGAATGAATGAATGAAATAGTAGATATACCATAGAGGGGAAATTTAAGTGAAATTGAAATGTTAGGAATTTAAAAAAAAAAAATACTTGAGCATAATTACCCAACAACTAAGATCACCCAACATATTTTTTCTCGACTAAACTTATGCCTTTTGTCACATGGAAACTCTCTATCAAGATCTCTGGTGGTGTGTTTTTTCTGGCGATTTTTAAATATAATGGAGCAATTTGCTCCGCTGTCCTTAAAAAATCTTCAGAGAAAGTCGATTTGCTCCGAATGAATCGCAACCAAAAGTAATGCTTCCCATCATGCAAACAATACGACCAACTTATTAATTTCTAAACAAACTTCTATTCTTTTTTCACCCACTTTTTTCAGTGCAACGGTTTCGCGACCAGAGCCATCAGAATCTTTCCGCCGCGAGAGCACGCCCACTGCTGAAACGGGCCGTTTCCCTCGATTTCCAATTGCCCGGTCAAAGAGGCGTTTATTTTGCCCCTCATTACCCCCTCCCCCTCCCCCGCCCCTCATTATCCGAGGCCCAGGTCATCGAATTCGTGACGCATCAGCGGGAATTGGCCCGGGTTCGGCGACCCCGCGCATGCGGGAGTCTATTTTCCGTGGAAACACCGCGTCGCGTTCCCGAAACCGAAAAACAACGTATAAGCACTTGTACGTTGCCAAACTTCACTCTATATAACACTAAATTTCCTGGCAAATCCGTGAATTTTTTCTCCTTAGAATTTACAGATATTTTAATCGCAATTTTATGCAGCGCGTTTGCACATTTTGAGAGAAAATACCCACAATTTTCCTGGAAAATGGATATCCAATTGCAGGAAATCTGGCAATGTTGGCTGTGTCTTATCTCGGCGCGACAGGGTACGAATAAGGGGCCCTGGTCTGGCAACTTCCCTCAAGTCGAGTCGACCCTCCTATCAGTGTCCTCCAAGGGATAATCGCGTAACTGCAATGTAAACAGTACTTAAGTACGCGGTTTTATTTAAGAAGGGCAAATCGCCGATCAGCGTTGACATCTGAATCGGTCGGTGTTGAAACCGAACAAGTCTACTATCTGATGAGATCTGGAATAGAGGGACTCTTACGGAGTTCAGGGCTCGTCGAGAGATGGACTTGCTCGGTTTCGACATCGACTGATACATCTGTGACCGGGCTCAATTGCGCCGATCCGATGCTCCGCGAGGATTCAACATCCGTCCATAGATACGCTGTTGTCTCTTCTACGCTGTTTAAAATAATAATAATTTGTTTCTAACGACCAGAGACAATCTACTTTATACACCTATACACCGCCATCTTTCCTATAATGTAAAAGTTACTATCTGTTGTCAACACTCACATTCGCCCAACGATGGCTGATGACCAAAGAGGTGAACAAGTGGTTTAATTGACAGTCTTAACTTAATTTGCAGCGAAGTGTTCACCCCGACATTCATCGGTAATCATTCAGAAAATGTTGTGTTTAACAAGTAGCTCATAAATCATCATTGGGCGAAAGATAGCGTTAGCCTCTGAACTTAACTTTTGCCTCATCCGATTACATGGCTCAGATTGTAAGAGCGATAGCTCTAAAATGTATTTTCTTTGCTTCCTCACTGTTAAATAAACCAAGAGCTTGCTTTCAATTTGAAAATAAGATGAAACTACAACTAAGCGACCGTAAAGGTAATTTAGATTCAAATAAAATCGTTTCGAAGTTAATCAGAGTTAAACAGCGTCAGTTAGAGGAATGCTTTCCTGGAGACTCAAACGCATGGATAGAAATGCTAACCATTATTATTTCAACGGTTCTATGTTAAGGCCTAACAAGTTTCATTGTCGAATGATATCTGAAATCCAAAATGTGTTTTTATGTCCGCGCTCGTCAGTAAAGATACACTTAAAACTTGATACCGACCGATTCATTTATATTAGGGTTGTGTGATTTCCGTTCAACATTTTGCTAGATTTTACGTGTAAGCAGAGAAAGAAGTCGTGAAATTTTTGATTGAAGCTGCCTGGAACAATTTCTTGGTAATTTGAGAGTGGAGATTTTGCAAAATGGAAATTGAGTCACGACCTTTTGTTTTGGAAAGGACGGATCATCGCGATACGTGGTTTCTGAATTTAACCATAACCATCAATATTCTTTCATGCAAAAACGCAATATTCTCTGTACAGTAATTATTATCTTCTAACTTTTTCCAAAGAAATGGTTTCCATTTATTTTTGACTTTGTATGAGTATTATTTGAGTTCAAAAGCAACTTGGGCCATTCGGCTGCAGGAATTCCTCAGGAAAGAAGACAAGGCTTGTTAAATTGAAATATTGGAGGCGGGCCTAATTCTGAGTCCCAGTGACCTCTTTCGAGCACTTGACAAACCATAGGATGCTGAAGAACACGTTTTACACGTCGTTAAGGGCTCATTCGACCAGATGGACCTGTCCATAACCCTTTTGGCGACTGTCTGTTTGCCGAAGTTTCCAAATTTGAGATGCAGGAAGTGTGCAAATCACTAATCCTGGCCTCACGGAACTGCCGTGGATGCGATTCTCATAGCCGTCGCACAGTGATCCGGGTTCGATGAAAATTATTCATGCCCGGATTGGGAAACATTGGTTGTTTGAACCGATGAAGTTCAGCTACCAGTTCAAAGAACTGAACTCTCAGTTACATGAGCTGCATGACCTTTCCAGTTTCAAATTTTGATTCGATCGAGGATTACAATAGTCTATACGTTCCGTTTATACCGAGGCTACCTAATTCGATGAATTAAACCGTCATTCATTGTGTCGAAGTTGAGATAGGTCAACAGAAGAAATTGTTTGGGTGACCAAGAGCTCATTAGCCGAAACAGAAAAGCAACCACTGAACTTAATTGGTAATGACGATCAATCACATAAAAGTACCACTAATATCGGTTGGCACTACTGTCAATATTTTATTATTACTAGAACCATGCATTTTCTTGGTTGATACTTAAAATGCGTGATTAAAGCATTTTCAGTGCCATACTCAGTGCTTAATATCGTGGTAGAGGGTTCTTTTTGTTTTTTAATTGACTGTAATCAAAATTTTTGATGAATTCTTTCAAGACTCTCATCGTGCATTTTGAATTCTTTACAAATTAAAATTGTTGTCTTCTAGGCACCGTGATTTTCAAATCCATTCTGGTTGAATTTTAAATATTTTTTCATGTTTTTTGTCGGTTTCAATACACAATGGAGCAGTAAAATAGCCAAGAAATTCGAATCCCGACAACAGTATAATAATTGAGCTAGTCTCGAACCAACAAAACAGAGATGCACTGAAGAAATTGTACATTTTTCAGACATGCCTTCATTATTGACCACTAAATTGACGATGTTCGCCCACCGTGTCATGGCGGCCACTAAACATGCAAATCGAGGGAATACAACGTAAATAAATCGTGACCATCCTCGATCGCAGCGCGGCGTGCGGATTTCAAGCGCAATAAATTAATCGTCCAGTGACGTCAGTGATCTGGAGCGCCAATAAAATTTTACGCTCGTGATGTCCCGTCTTCCCACTCGTTCTTGAAAATTGCCCGGGTCGCCCCGAGCAGGCAGTTCCGACGCGCGTTTCCCCTATCTTCCACGGCCGAAGTATCGAAGATCGATAGATTGAACAAAGTTCCAAACGTGCATTTTGCACTGACCGCTGCGACTGAATTATCGATTTCGATTAATCGAGTCCATCCATTGTCGTGGTGATTGGCGGTCGGTGAGAATAATGGGAACGAGAATCGGGGAAAATAAACTGAAATCGAGTCTCATTGAAGGCCTCGTTGTCGGATTGCACTTTAAACACATTTTTCTGAACTTGAGAACAGTAAACACTGGCTGTAAGCTCATACCACCTGCGTTAAATCTACGACTTCTAAAATGCGCCTTAATTTTTTAAAATGCGACACGCACTTCTGTCGGACACGAATAGTTGTATTCAGGCTATGTCAGCAAAGGAAGGGTATCGAAGAGGGCAAATATCAGCCTCTGCTTAGAAGCTCAAGATTTTTCGATAATTTTCAATTGACGTACATTTAATGGTAAAATTGGTTCACGGTGATACTCACAGTTTAGGCCTTAAAACGAAGGCCCAAACTTGGGCCGAATTCAAAAAAACTTTGCTTTTCATTGATTCATTCTAGATTTCATGTTGATCCTCAAAGTGACAACTGACCATCTCCAAACCTCCTAAGTGCTCAGTGGCTATCAATAACATATTCATGGCACATCAACTATCATGTTCCAGCCCATTATGCTATTTGAAGAAGAAATACTAGAAAAACTCGCACCGCGCTCATATTTTTGCTATCAGACCCAAGTTGGGCCCTCAATTTGATATGGAAATAAAGTAATGTGAGTATCGCTGAAACCCAAATATATCTGAAAAATATACGTCACCAACTTCAAAATATCGAAAAAATTTTCAACTCTAAGATTATGCTGATTTTGGTCCAAATCCATATCCCATCTTTCGTGAAAATTTCACACTGAGGTTGATAACATCAAAATTAATCAGCGCAATGAAATTAACAGGTTTGGATGTATGGACGAAACGTTTGGTTTTGCAACATTGTCGTACAAATTTTGCGGTCTACGGCCATCACGATTGTATCCCCCAGAAGTCTGCAAAACTGGCAAGCCAGACTCGAGGATATATGGAGAAAATGCTAATAAGATACGGAGACAATACGTGCAAAAAGTTAAGAGCCTCCCACTGCCTGTGCAAGTTGATGTCGGTGTTTTTGAAATCTTGACGGAACGAATAATGTTGCGTTGGTCTGGATTTTACTGTCTTGCGTAGCACAGAGGAGCTCTTTTCCAGGAATACGTATCGTATTTGGAAGTTGGATCGAAAACACATTAATCGTTTCTTCCTCAGAATTTTCTCGGCAATATAATCTTTTCTCACTTCGAAACCTTTAGAGGCAAATGATTGAACTTCTAATACATGTATTAGCTTTGAAAATTCTCAGGTAACAAATTAAGAATTATAGGGACTAAGATTCCTTTTTCTTTGTTCCTGACCGTGTTCATCAGAAAGGAACAACTCACATCAAGTTAAAACTGAGAAATATAGGCTTGAGGTTTTATTCCCCCATAAGACTCAATGTAGAAAGTATAAACTTTGACCCCTCTTTTTACAAACTAATATTTTTTTTCGACTTTGAGTTTTTGGCAGGAGAAAATATGCAACTAGAAGAATTCAAAAACATTCTTAACTCAATGTTTTTTTTAAAAAAAAATGTGGGTTGGTTCCTTTCTGATGAACTCGGTCCAAATGATGAACTTCCGCTGCTGCGAGCCACGGAATATTCAAATACTAATCTGTGATAAAGCGTGAATGATCGATTATCGATATTTCCCCGTTTGAAGCTATGGTAAAGAATCGATTCCTGTTTATCGATCCTTTTCCATTGCTTTAAATGGCAGATCAATCGATACATCGCAAAACACGCTACGCCACTGGTGATGATCCGACGATGGGCATCGTTTGGACGGTTGCGTGATGGAGTGGTCGGTGAAGAGGTTACGAACCTTGCCGAATTGGTGGGTGGTGTTGGGCGTGTTGGCGGTCCAGTGGTCCGTCTCTACGCGGGCATGTTCGAGCATGCCGGTCAGATGGTCCATCCGGGACCACTCCGCTACGTTGTGCCGCTTCCGGGGCCCCTCTTGGCCCCCATTTGGCGGCAGAGACACCACTTCCATCATCCCAGGCGCCAATTCCACATCAGAACCTGCCGACAGAAACAACACGCACATTAGTACCACTTTTTCCACAACGTACAGGGATTCTCTTTGCATGATCAAAGAGGAACATATCAACAAGCGCAAAGCAGAGTACGCAAAACATAGGAGAAGACTCTTGTAAAAAATAAGAAAAGAATACAATAAATTAGAGGGCAAGTCATCTGACCGCTTCACGGTCCAGACCCCCGAAAAGCTCTTCGCGTCTTAGGCTTTGTGCGTTACGCGTACTGCCGTGCTGAGGAAAAATACCGTATGAGCCTTCAGGCATCGCCAAATCCCCTTTAGTCAATCAAAAATTTTCGGGAAAATTTGTAAATATTTTTCCTCAATTTTTCAGATAACTTTGTTCGCGATTTCACCTAAAGTTCCTGATTTCAAGGAAAAGCATCCGTAGCCTTCTTCAAAAATAAACATTTCATCGAAGGAAATTTGGCAATTCTCGGATATTCATACGACATTTTTCCTTAGCACGGCAGAGTAGCTCTCGTGATTTTATATTGTAGAGCAAGATATTGAAGAAATGTAAACAACGAGAATATGCAAAATAACACAAAAAATGATTAATCGCGAAACGTTTTTCCTAACCCTTCGGCCATTATTAATTGGACAGAGACGAAGAAAGTTTAAAATTTTTGCTGAGCTTTGTTCAGGTTCTGTTTATTAAGCTTTTGGGTTGAGCCATTTTTCATTAGGACGTTGAGTAGATCTCACCCATTATTGGATTGCATTTTGCAAAAAGGAACCACTAGCATTGCAATGTTGCTAAGATTGTGCAACTTCTTTTGTCTTGGAGGAAAACCCCGATTATCCCTTAATAGTTTCTATTTTACTCGCTAAAAACTGTAAATTTAAGACAAAAATTACCATCTAAACTTCAAAGTTTTTCACAATTTCCGCAATTTTATTGCAAAGGATGAAGTTGCACAATCTTAGCATCATTGCAATGCTAGTGGTTCCTTTTTGCAAAATGCAATCCTATTAGGCTTCAAAGTGTTAAAGTAAAGGCAAGGGAAAAGTTCCGCGATCTTCGCAATATCTCTCGTATGAGCTGTATCCCCTTACTTCTCTACACGAAACACTATTTGCATTATTATCTCGACAAGAAAAAAAAACATTCCATTTATAATTGCATACATGTGGTCCATAGAATGTCATCCGCTTTATCTTTTGCACTACCCTCCCCTCGACCCTATACCTCTTACATTTTACTACAGGAACAAGCGCTGATCGTAGAGCGTTAAGTGTTTCGCAAGAAGGAAGATCTCAGGCAAGCGCACGCTCATTTATCACATTACTATTTATCCCCGTAAACAAGAGGCAAACGGTTCGTTGGCCTGCAACAACTCGGTTCATTTCGCCGATTATCACGGAAGGCGTAAAAATGTTGAAATATAAAATCGCTGCTGTGCACGACGCGAGCCCTCTTCCGCCGTGCTACGGAAAACAGCAGTAAGTCCATGAGCCTCGAGGAACATAGGGATACGTGCCAACTATGGCCCATATTACGACTTACTTACGGCTGTCTCGCATAGGAAAGCAGTCTCCCCGCTGCTCTGAGGCGCATTCGCAACGCGAAAAGCGAGGCGAATATCGATAATATCGGTGCGAACGCAATATTTCAGAGCGTACCACGGGTTCTATTATGACGGGGCCGGCGGATTGTATTTAGCAGTGATATAAATACAGGCCTCCGTACAGGAGTTGATTAAAAAAATAATGGGAAAAAGTTGAGCTTGTATTGTGCAATGTGTTCTGTTAGGAAAGTTACGAGTTCGCGCGCTTTTTTATTCGCGATGGTGTGGCTGGAATTGAGTGGAACAGGGCTTCGGATAAGTGATGATAATTTTTACACCCGTTTCTCTCCAGACATTTCAGTAATCTTTTTAGAGTAGAGACTAAAAGCCACGTCAAAAAAAAATTGAAAGGGAAAAATTTAAGGGCCAGTAATATACTCAACCACGAGGCATTTCTTTTTTTCCTTTTGGTTTACGGGGCGCTGTATAGTTATCATTGAAATAAATGTACTCACGAAGAACTGTGAATTTAAGGTATCCGAATAGATTTTATCATTTCTCGGTGATTAACGACATAACTGTATTGAACCAGCGTAACTAACCCATTGTACATATTTTAATATCATTTTAGGTAAGAACGTCTTAATTTTGATTATCGAAAAATCAGACGTCATGAAAAGAGGAACTGTAGTATGCGCCTATCTGTTGCCTTTTTCTTTAAAAGTACACAAGTAACACTTGCAATGGCGCCCTCTTCTTTAGAATTACGCTGATAACACTTGCAATGATGCACTTACACCGAGCCACACATACGACTACTACTCCACACACAACTAACACCCATCACACTACTAGCTTGTCGCAACTCTGGTCTTGTAGTCAGCAAGTTCTGTTTTCTTTGACAGCACCTCGAAAGGTTTCGGAATAAAACTTCTCAGAACAAAGAAATTTTCTACCCGTGCGCCGTCTGTAAAAGGGCAGATTACGCCACGAGAAAAATACCTTAAAACATTACCGTGGAGAATTAATCAGAGAGCTTTACGAGACGAATAATTTCAGAAAGACGACAAAAACCTCTTTTGATTTACCGCCAGATCAAGTAAAGCACCCCTGTCACGGATCAGTCAATAGGAATCATAACATCAGGAAAAAATGCACTTCAATCGAAGCTAAGTCGATGACTCACCGATTGACTGTACCGATGGTTTTAGCCGCCAAAGAGTTTTTCGAGCCTTTCGTGAAAAAATAAGAGATAAGTTAACTTGTTGAACCTCAGTCACCGCCCTCTCATTCGTCATTTAAAAACATCTGTCTAATTTGAATACACATCGCCACTCTCATGTTCCGTCAGTGCGGGATCTTAGCAAATGCAACCTGTTGCATTTGCATTTGACCCACGATGAAAAAAGGCAGCGGTTCCCAAACTGTATAATCCGTGGAAATCTGCTGGAGGTTTCACGGAACGTGTGTAGAAATCGTTAGAAAAAAGCGAAAAGGTGATGAAAAAAGGAAAACGGGAGAAGAACGTCTAAAAGAGGGCACAACCTTCAAAATGAGAACTTGAAATATTGCATTACGATTGCAACATCTATGATGTAGAAGTCTAGTCCAAAATTGAATCGTTTTCAGTTAGACGTGCGTAAGTTCAAAAAATCATGAGCCTTAGCGTCCTGCGTGATCACCAAAAGCGAGGGCTCATGATTTTTTTGACTTACGCCCTTCCAACAGAAACCAATTCAATTATTAGTGTGAAAACATTAACGATTAACTTTTCTTTTTCATACCGATGGCCAAAATGCGAAACCACGTATCTCCGTTTACGACGCTCTATACTTCTTGTCATTCTTCGAATTTTCTTAAAGTAAATACTCTGCATCTTTACCTGACAATTTCCATGATTATTCCTCTCTAGGAAAATATTCTGTTTAAATTTCAACCTTTGAAAAATGATTCGTTTCTCTTCGAAATTTTAAAATATAGCAATAATGACATTTATAATAGACATCGTGATTTCTGACTGCGGCATCGCTGTACCTTACATCATCTTTTAAAGTCCATTATTACCCACTCAGATCAATGACTCGGACGTTATTTTCTGCTTGAAGCGACTCTTCTTTTCGCTCTGGCAAAAGCTCGCAAGTTGCAACGACTAATTTATACATTCCGAGCTACGTTTGGCTGAAAAGTTTAGGAACCGCTGAAACAAGTCTAAAGGCAAAACGACTTGAATTTTCTCCGCTCAGTTCTTGGAATTAGAAACCACACACATTTTGACCGGCAAAATCGATTACTATGCATGCGGATCACTGAGAGCACTCCGCTGAGTTATAGGCCCAACTCTAAATATGGCAAATGCAACGGGCATTTGAAACAAACTCCATTAAGCAGAAAAGATCTATCATCAACAGTAATTATGAAAAATCACGCATCAACTGTACATTTTCGATGGACGTTACGTTGTTTTTCGAAATTGCCTTCGTGGATGGATCTTTCTCTCTGAGTGACGCCGACTGCAACATTGTGACATCTCGGAACATTAATTGCATTGACCGTTCAGTGAAGCGTGGAGCCAGCGAGAGGCTGAGACAAGGAGCTAATAAATATGCGGATAAAATTAATCGGCGATCAGCTGAGCCGCGGCTACTTAGCTCGACGTGGGAGTCGATTAAAGAGGGCCGACGATTTTTCTTCCTCTCGAGCCACGCGAAAACGCAGCCTTCGAAAATCGTCGAGATCGGATTCGAATAATCGAGTCGCGGAACGTGAAACCCACGCCCGCTGTTTTCGGAAGTCGGAGAAGAGGGAGCCTGGGAGTATCTTCCGAGGTAATTTGAACGTCGAGAAAATTTTTCACGGCTGCCAACTCAACTATTTTAGGTCGGAAAGCGTTGTTTTCCGGACGACGGGACGTATCTCAGTTCCAAGCTTGCGAACTTGGCTTAAAAACTTCAAATTTTTAAAAAAATATGATTGTTCGGTTACTGTTCAAAACTTTTCGGATTCGTGCTTGTAATCAGAAAAAAATCGGTAAAGCTTTAAGTCAGAAGTCCCTATTAGTCTCTTAGTAAAAGAAAAGCTTGCGAGTGGAATTTTGTAACGTTCAGTAACGTCTTTTTGTCCGAAGAATGACGTAATCTAAGCCTCCTAACTTCAGGGCTGGATTAAGGGGGTGGCCACATGGGCCGTGGCCCATGGCGGCAAATTTAGGGGGCGGCAAATTTTGCAATTTTTTTAAATGTAGGTAGGAAAAAAATCGGATTCAGAAAACAAAATTATCAATGAGAAAAGGAGACAAAATCTCTCTTTCCTGAGAGTATAGTAATATCTACTTTTGTCGTTTTTCGGTGATACAAGATCTTTAATTAGCATCTTTAATTAGTCGAGATAAGAGAGGAACTAAACACGCAATTTGGCTTGGAGCTTAGCGCAGAGAGGAATGATGACGAGGACTTGAGAGGAAAAGGACAAGCCTT